ACTGAACCAATACACGTAGAGGCATTTGGCGGCTGATGTCACTAGTTGCTGTTAACGTGCGTACGGCTTGCAATTTTGCAGAAATCTCTATCTGGTAGAGCCACTGGGCATCCCGCAGAGTTTGGGGGGTCGGGGGGAGACACCACGGCTACGAGTAGTTCGTTGGGGCCCAGTAGTGTTGTTCTGGTATCCGCGCATGTTGTGTTCCTTTGTATGGCCGACGTTGGCTGACCAAAGCAACTTCTTGTCCTTGGTCACCTTATTTCACAGCATAGTCCTGGAAACAAGCGTTGTTGTTCCACTTCTGTGATGCCAAAAAACAACTAGACACACAGTGCTTCACAGGAGTGGGCACCGTGCTTCGAACGATGAGCAAAACAACTGATACTTTTTTGGGGTTGTCCCTGCCCAAGGTGAATCACGGCCGAAAGCGACACGTTCTTGCCACCAACCGGAAGCCCCGAAACCTGCCACGTTTGATGCCATAGGCCGGGAAAAAATGCAGGGTTCACGGACGCAGTGCTGCATCTCCGATTCTAAGACTTGTGCAGTGGATTGTTCGTCGGAACGAGGCACTGAGAAATGCCAATGGTTTTATCTCATGTGTCATCAAAGTTGCTTAGCCAAATAGCTTTTCCAAAGGCCACAAAAACGGTTTTTGCAATCCCGTTGGAAAGCGGGAATCAAATGGATAGCAGGTGGATCATTCCACACCTTGCACGGAAAGGCTCCTGGTCTGCTCCGATTCTGCACCCCGTGAGTTCAAACAAGAAGGGTCGTAGTTCCGTATGCCTAGTAGTCCAGAAAAAGCCTTCTTTTCTCAGACATCAGATCCACAGCAGTCAAAATGCGGGCTCCATGGGATGGTGTCTGCAGAGCGAAGAATTTGTTTGGCGCAGGGGTTCTTTACCTTTATCCTTCTCTTTCTCCTCTCGTTCTTTCCTGAAAGCAAGTCTGTCGAGAAAATACTCCACGTAGGTCACATACTTTGTTTTCATTCTCTCTCGCTCTCTCTCTCTCTCCCTCTCTCTCTCTCTCTCTCTGCCTCTCTCTCTCTCTCTCTCTCTCTTTTTCTGTCTCTTGCTCTATCTGTCAATCTAAGGTAGCCTGGTTCTCTGGATAGCTATCTGTCTATCTGACGATCTATCTGTCGACTAGTCTTCCAACCTATCTGTCTCTGTCTCTTCTCTCGATCAACCGATCTGTCTGTCTACCTCTCGGACCTTTCTATCCATCAGCTTTGTATCTATCCATTTATCTATCTATCTATCTGCTTATCTACCAAGATGTAACTATCTATCTACCCATCTATCTGTCTATCTCTCTGTCTATCTATGTATCTATCTTTCTTTCTGTCTATCTATCTTTCTTTCTGTCTATCTGTCACATCTGTCTATCTGTCCGTCTGTCTATCTGTCTATCTGTCCATCCGTCAATCTGTCTACCTATCTATCTAACTGCTTCTCCAACAAGATGCATCTATTTACCTCCTGTCCATCTGTCTGTCTACCTGTCTGTCTGTCTATCTATCTCTCTCTATCTGTCTATCTATCTATCGAGATCTTGAGATTTCTCGCTCAACGTGTCTATCTATCAGCGCTCCGAAATCTGCACCCGGAGTGCTGCGCCTACTACTCGACCTGCGCGAGAGCGCTGCGCCTGCCACGAAATCTTAACCTGTCCTTGCGCCTGCCGCGACATTTGCACTTGAACTTGCAAAAGACCTCAGGCTGCCTTCCACGCAATCTGCATCTCAGTTTGCCGAAGCTTGCCTGTCACGCAAACTGATGTCGCGACAAGCGCTCGTGTCCGTGCCAATGGGCCCGCGGCTGATCGCCAAGCGCCCGGTCCGAGACCGTTCCCAGACCGTCTTCCGTCAGGCGTCGCGACCGAGGTAGCTTTCAGCTCGCCAAGTCGCTCTTTTTCGGAATGTCACGCAAGTTTTCTCACATGCATTCATTCTTTCTTCATCTTAGTGTCCGTAACACGGAAGTTCCTTCTAAACTTCCTTTGACAATTTGGTAAAAAGTCAACCAAGCCACTCCGCGGAGACAAAAAGGATTTCTGAGACAGTGACAAAGGCCGAGCAGTCCTAAGCTCTTGGCGGAAGGGTGCGGCACACTGCCGTCTGGCGGCTGGCAACCTGAGGAACACATTAAGGCAGAAGCTGTACGCCTTGTTCGCCAGGTCTCTGAGGTTTACAGCAAGGCCCCCTTAAGCGCAAGCACTGATCTAAATACTTTCAATCTAACCATTGTTTTGGAGACCTTTCCTTAAAGGATAACATCACTGTGTAGCATGAGCCAAAAGGTAAAGGCGTTTCTCGCGCTTTTCCCTGGCTTGCGGGTGATGTCAGTTTGCTCGGCCCTTTCGGGTCCTACCGAACCCAATCTTTGGAATGCCTGCCAAGCGAAGTTCTTTCTTGCCAGCCCCGGGCTGTCTCAGTGTCCGCTTGCCCAGCTCGCTGGGGCGAGACAAAAGGCCCTGGCGCGAAGAGCCTGTCGCATCATCTTGGCAGAAATTGCCTGAGCACCGTCAAGGGCAAACTCCCTACTCGATGAGCAACTGTTAAAGTAGCACACGGCATCTGAACGCAGTGCAGAGCCTCAAACATGAGTCTTCAACAGATGCCATCACTACGACGACAATGATGATGAGCAGGAGGAGAAGCACGACGACGAGGAGGACGAGGATGAGGACGAGGATGAGGACGAGGATGAGGGTAACGACGACGACGCCGGCGAACACGAAGGCGACAGCGACCACGACGGCGACGCGCGCAACGCGGACAACGATGACAGTGAGTGACAGTGAGTGACAGTGAGTAAAAAGTGCCGATGACGGTAACGATGACGGTGATGATGACAATGACAAAATGACAGTGATGGGTGGTGACAATGGCGAAAATACTGGCGATGGTAACAATAACAATCACAATGAGGATTGGATGGGAATGGTAATGGTGATGCTGATGGGAATGATGATGATATTTGGCTATGATTTTTTTTACGGGTCTGTAACGCGCGAGGCGCCACGAATCTTGTTACGGAGGTCTGTAACGGAGGTCCTTGTTACGCAGGTCTGTAACGGGACAAACATTTCCTGACAAGAAGTATCAGTAGCACGATGTAGCGCAGCACAACGAGGTATGTAATGGCTATGTAACGAGGTCTGTAACGACGAGGCAACGCAAAGAGCAGGACGCAAAGCGCGCCTGCGCAGCTCCAGCTTGATTGCAGCTACTCAACGCAAGCCAAGCTGCGGTAAAAAGGGGGTCGCTGGCCCGGGCTGGGGCTGGGTCTGTAACGAGCTATGTAACGGCGATGTAACGAGGTCTGTAGCGAGGCAAAGCAAAGCGCAGCACGCAAAGCACGCCTCCGCAGCTCTATTCAACGTAAGCCAAGCTGCGGCAAAAAGCGGGGTCGCTGGCCCAGGCTGGGGTTGGGTCTGTAACGAGGTATGTAACGGCCATGAAACGAGGTCTGCAACAAGGCAAAGCAAAGCACTTGATTGCAGCTATTCAACGCAAGCCAAGCTGCGGCAAAAGGAGGGCAGTCACGTCACTGGCCCGGTTTGCTCATCTGAGGTGTGTAACGAGGGCGTGTAACGAGGGTGTGTAACGAGGGTGTGTAACGAGGGGTGTGTAACGAGCCAGCTGGTTTTGTTACAGAGGTCTGTAACGAGGTCTGTAACGGATGCTGATGATGATGATGATGATGATGATGATGATGATGATGATGATAACGAGGAGGAGGAGGAAGAGGAGGATGGTAATGGCGATGGTGGTATGATGGTATGATGGTATGGATGTGTGTGTGTGTCACTGTGTGCGCGCGGTATGTATGGTATGCATAATGATATATATATATATATCAACCTGAGATTGGTAGAATTTGTATGATTGATTGGTATGAATGGTATGGAGTGACGGTATGATGGTATGCTGGTGTGATGGTATGATGATGGTATGATGATGGTACGATGATGGTACGATGATGGTACGATGATGGTGTGGTGGTGGTGGTGGTGGTGGTGGTGGTGGTGGTGGTGGTGGTGGTGGTGGTGGTGGTGGTGGTGGTGGTGGTGGTGGTGGTGGTGGTGGTGGTGGTGGTGGTGGTGGTGGTGGTGGTGGTGGTGGTGGTGGTGGTGGTGGTGGTGGTGGTGGTGGTGGTGGTGGTGGTGGTGGTGGTGGTGGTGGTGGTGGTGGTGGTGGTGGTGGTGGTGGTGGTGGTGGTGGTGGTGGTGGTGGTGGTGGTGGTGGTGGTGGTGGTGGTGGTGGTGGTTGGGTGGCGGCTCGAACTCTCAGGCAAGTATGCGGTCATTTTTCAGAATGTGTTCTTGTATCGGAACAGGGGCTCCCTCAAGGCTTGGTCCGGCTATCCAGCGAGAATGAGACGTCATCGCCATCGCCGTCACCGTCACCGTCACCGTCACCACCACCGTCACCACCGTCACCACCACCGTCACCACCGTCACCACCACCGTCACCACCGTCACCACCACCGTCACCACCGTCACCACCACCGTCACCACCACCACCACTCGGGACTGTGCAGGACAGTCAGCTCACGTTTGGAGTGATCTCACCAAGAGTATTGGGGCCGGATGCAGCTTTCAACCCTCAACGAGCTTACGCGAGCCGACAAGCAAATTCTGCGGCTTATGCATCCCAAACCACCCAGCACAAGGCAGCCCCGCTTTGCCGGAAGGGCCGATGACTCAACGGAAAGCTCGAGCCAATCTCTCAGAGCGAACGATTTCAGTCTGTGGCAGCCCAGTAGTGGTGAAAATGGGCCTATGGCAGACGGCGAATCTCACAATACGTACACTTATTCGCTGGGGTTTGCCCTCAAAAAGCAAGCTTTCGCATGAGACCCTTGCTGAGGTTGCTCATTTGCCCAAAACCTGCGGTACCTGCAGTAGTAGCACCTCACAGCACGGCGCGCAGGCCCCGCGCTTTGCAGTTGCAGGAAGCTTGGCCCGCATGCACGCCCGATTTTCCACACAGCTCTGGCAGCACGGCGCTCTGCCCGAGCCTTTGACACCTGACGCAGACTCTGCTCTATTTGAGTCAAGGTGCGACAGGAAAATCGTAAGCTTTAGGTCAACCCGTTGGAGGAAAGGTCTTTGTTAGGGCATTGGAAAAGCTTGTCTTGGTCAATCCTGTTGCTGTCTGACAAGTCCAAGTGGCTGACTGGACCTTGGGTTGCCCGAGCGCGCATATCAAGAATTGGTCCTCAGGATCGTAACGCATCCTAGGAATGTAAACCGCTAGCTTGGGTCATGAATCAGTTCAAAAAGACTGCGATCGCAAATCGTGGAGGGCAAGCATATTCAGGTGCACACAGCTTGGCACAATTTTGGAATTGGTCTGCCCATCTGCGTGTCTGTGTGTGTTGTGTGTGTGTCGGCAAGAAGCGCTGGGAGATGATCCAACAACCCTCTTGTTTGTCATCAAGAGTGCTGTTGCTCGCATTTGAACCCCTTCAACCCGGGAAGGGAAAGAAACCTGTTCAGGCAAGTAGACTTGCTTGCTCATTGAGGGAGGGCGTCCGTGAGGGGTTAAGCTTCGACTCAGCCGGTTTGTGACAAGACACCCTCGCCAAGATCACCAGCCTCTCACACATAGCCCCGGTGGCCCTTGGCCAAGCCCGGCGCAAAGCATAGCACCTTGTGCCGTTGTGCCGGCATCGTGTCGGACTCGCGGGAACCAAAAAGAGGGCAACGGGCGAGAATGCTTTGGAGCAATTTCTTGAGTGTCAGTGCGGGATACATGTGCATCTAAGGTCTTGTCTTGTTCGGCTCTGGTTCAAAGTTGTATCAACAGTTGTCAGCTCTATAGGTCTCCGCATCTCGCAAGTCAGATAGGCCTGTGTTCATGGCGAAGCGGCCCCAGATTTCCAATCGGGGAGATTGCTGTGTGCTACACATCTTCCAAATCTCGCAGGAGGGCCAGTTTAGGAGGGAGGCTTCAAAAAATGAAGCTGCTTTGTCCTGGAATTGACAAGCCTTGACAAGCAGGGCGTGTGAGGCGACACCCAATCTGGTACGTATACTGCGATGCAAAAGGCCTGTCCAAGTCCAGACATAGAACGCTCGCAATGATATCATAGTGCGTGAAGCGGTGAAGGGTTCCAGGGGAAGCTGTGGAGCCATGCCCTTCTCAAGATTATCCCGCGTGGGGGTGCTGCTCGGCAAACTTGCTAAGAGCCTCATACTGAAAAGTGTGCCTGCTGGAGCCTTGCCAAGCAGTTGGGCCGAAAATTGTGGCCATGTCCCCGAACCTTAATCCCCTTATCTTTGGCATGTCCATGGTGTCGATCTGCGAGGCATGACCCACTTTTCAAGTACCCTCTGGCGCCCTCTTGGTGCACATGCACACACACACACCAAAGATGAAATGCTTGAAGCCAGTGCGACAACTCCAATGTGCAGCGCTCTGCTTTTGACTCGTTGCCTCACCGGCTTCTGCAGCGACTTGCACGTGGTGCCCGCACATTTTGCGTAATCCACCGAGGTTCTAAACATGCTTTCTGAACATGGGCTCGGCATCTGATCTCCGGCGCACAACTTGTGGGTTCTTCATGGAAGACCTAAAAAACATCTTTGAGCCTTGTGCACAGTCTGCGGTCTGTGTCATCGTATCATATGGCATGCGACATCATGGGCGCTTAATAGCAGTCTAGTCCATGTTGCGGGCGCGAGCCTCGAAAACTGGCCCTCCGGAGCGAGTTATGTTGCACAACCCAGGGCTCACGGAGATACCTTTGAAACCCCGACGTTCACACTCGGGGTGCTCTGAATAGACACGAATTGTACTCAGTCGAGCAATGAAGATGGAGAATGGTCACACGCTCAAACTAGAAACCATGTCAAACCATCTGCGACATTTACAACAATATATTATATTCATAGTGCAGGTCTTGCGAACCGGCAGGCTGACTCGGGAAATGCGGAAAAGGGCAGCCCGGCATGCACAGTGCCAGCTTCAACGGCTGCTGTGGCAGTTTTCAGCCCACGCGATCCACACACCCACCAACAACTGTTCAATGCATTCACCAAACCAACCATCGTGTAAACCCTGCGGGCCTTGGGCCGGGCAACCATGCCGCATGCTACATTTGCAGTCACTTGTACCTCTTGTAAATCATGCCTGCACCGCTGGCAAGCTCTCAGCGCCCTGGCTCTCTGAAAGAGACAAGGCCATTGCCAAATGCAGCTCCTCGTCGGAACTGCTTCCATCAATGAGCTTCCGCTTCTGCCGGTCGAGCCGAGCCTGGTTTCGGATCCTCTCCTGCTCTCTGTCGTATGCCAAATACTCTTGGAAGCTCATCTTTCTTGTGACCTCCGCAGTTGGCTGCATTCGGCCCTCTGCTCCGCTCACCCTCCGGCTCCGTCTCAGGCCTGCCACAGGCTCAGGTGTGACCTCGGGGGTGTCGCACTCCTCACTGCTCTCCCTGCGGCGCTTTGGCCGCCTCCTGCGTGACTTGGCCTTCGCCTTGGCCTTCGCCTTTGCTTTTCGAGCCTTTGGCTTCGGAGTCGATGGTGTGTCGGCGGTTGGTGTCGGGGGCGGGCTGTCTCCCTCCCTGGGCACTGCCTGCACCACGACCTCTTCCTCCTGGCAACCAAGGCTCAGCAGGGTGTCCTGAGGCTTCAAGCGCCGCTCACCCAGCAAGAAGGCCGCCTCCTTGAGGTCCAGCTCGTGGTGCTCGCACCAGGCCATCATGAGCCTGTGCAGTGTGTGTGCGTGCGTACTTGCGAGCGTGCGAGCATGCGCGTTGCGTTGTGACTTAGCAAAGGATTCAAAAGCAGTCGGCGCTTTGCGCAATTGGACCCGCGCCTTTCCAAGGGCTTGGCCGCCAGCGTGTTGAAGCGCAGCTCGCTCAGCCCGTCCGCGCCCTCCGCCACAACCTTCACCTCCACTGTCCGCCGCTCGGGCGCCGCTGGCGCCGCTGGTGCCGCTGGTGCCGCCGCCGAAGTGGGCGCCGGAGCCTCTGGCTCGGCCTCCCGCAGCTTCTGCGCCTCCTAGCGAGGGAGTGAGGCGGATCTGCGGGTTTTTTTTGATCTCTTTCCTTGGAAAGCGCGTGCACTGAAATTCCAACTTCTGGATGGCCAAGCCAAACAAAACAGACAACTTGTCCCCATTGCAAAAACTAGCATGTTGCTCGCTTGTTCCCGTTCTCGCAGCTGGTTGCCTCCCAAGACAAGCGATTCCACGTGGGCGTACTCAGATCAATTTGGCAGTTGGGGATTCCCAAAGCACGTTCTTCTCCTGAACGTATGTTCTGATCATTTGGTGCGCAAAGAGCGAACGGCACACAGCACGAGTCATGGGAAAGTGTGGGTACTTTCACACAAAAAGCGGAGAACCACTGTTTGTGGGGGCGAATGGCAGCAGGCGGTGACAGGACCAGTCTCAGCCAAAAGTGGACGTCGCGCGACTACGATTGCTCGGTAAAGAGAGACAAACAGAAAGATAGAGGGGCGAACCGTAACTTGCAAGGATGTCCAAAAGCAACAAAGCAAGCGGCGTGGGTGGAACATGTCCCGACGAAAAGCAGTGAAATCATGGCAGAATTGCAGAATTGCAGAATCCCAGTGCCCAGCCCAAGCTGCTCCTCTGCAAAGGGCTGGCGCTCCGCGTCTGTGAGCGCTTTCCATTCTGCAGAAAGAACCTGTCCAAGTTGCCGCCGGCCGTGGTCAGGGCGTGGTTTGCAAGGCTTAAGAAACCAATGTCCGCCAATGCGCAGTTCCTAGTGTCTCACCCAAATCCACGATATCAGTGAGGTTCAGGCATGGGCCGGCGCCTTGGGTGGGTGGGTGGGTGGGTGGGTGGGTGGGTGGGTGGGTGGGTGGGTAGGTGTGTGTATGTGTGGGTGTCTGTGTGGGTGTGTGTCTGTGTGTGTGTGCGTGTGCGTGCGTGTGCGCGCGCACGTGCGCGTGCGCGTGCGTTTGCGTGTGCGTGTGGGTGTGCGTGTGGGTGTGGGTGTGGGTGTGGGTGTGTGTGTGTGTGTGGGTGTGTGGGATGAGCTGTCAAACCAACTGTTCCATAGCAGACAAACTTGCTTAATCCAAATTTGCCATTGACATGTCATCCTTCAGTAGTGATGCTACAAGCAAATGCTATGAGCAAGGATGGACATGTTTGTTTTGTTAATTTAACAAGCATGTTTCGTAGCTGAAGGGTATTCCTTCCGGTGAGTGTTCTCTTGCTTGTGTCTCTCCCTCTCTCTCTCTCTCTCTCTCTGTCTCTGGGAATATTCCCACACAATTGCCAACGACGTGCTGCTCAGGGACGCACACACACACACACACACACACACACACACACAACCACACACACACACACAACCACACACACACACACACGTGTGTTGCAACTGCGGTAGAAGGCACAAATCGACAAAAGATGCGAGGCCACAGGCTAACTTTTCCTGTAGTCTCGCATGATGCAGGCAAGCAATGCCTGCCCATACTTGGTGGATGGTTGCAATACCCTAAGTCCTGCCTTCGTGACTTCACCGAGCTTCAGGTTGGGCTGATCTCTTGTGAGCTCAGGCCGGCGTTTCTTCATGAACAGGTAGTATGCCGAAGTTGCCCGTTTTGCCTTGGGTGTACCTTTTTCTTCCTGATTCTTGCGCTTCCGGCCACTCTGCAGTGCTCGGGGCACAGCGCGCACCGTGAAATCCTGGCCGAAGGCCCAGCCGATGCTCGCGGGTGTGTCTGCTTCCTTCAGCTCTTGGTCGCCCACTCGGAAGCATGCCTCTGATTGAGGCACACCGTGGTGCGTGCACCAGCGGCCCATCATCTTGCCAAAGGAAGTGGAGAGCTTCATCTTAAAGTGCAAAATGTTCTCCCCAGCTTCACCTTCTGCAATCACCCGCACATCGATGGATTCCCCCTCGCTTTCTGTCGGCTGCGTCTCATCAAGGTCTTTGGCAATAGTGACCTTCGGCTTGGATGCCTCGGCCGGCTCCGCAACAGCTCGAACTTGGATTGGGTGGCCGTCAGAGGCTGGACACTCTTCGCCATTCAGCTCCCGGCCATCCAAAAACTCAAATCGCACCGAGGTGCGGGCGAAATGGTGCTGCTTGCACCAAGCCGCCATCATCTTCTCAAAGGCCATGGAAGGCCTCATTTTGATGACCGTCAGATTTGGAGTCACATCCTCCGACGTAACATGCACCTCCAATTTCTCAGGACGTGGTGCTTCACCCGCAATTCCAGACTCAAACACCGTTGAGGTATTGGTGGGCGCGGACAACATGGGATTCTCGGAAATCTGACTGGCAGGCTCATGCGACCTAGGCACCGGCTCATCTCTGGGCTTCGCATTGATCTTCATGGTGCCGTCTGAACGAGACCATCCGCAGCTTGCCGGGGTATCATCCGCCTTCAGCTCCCGCCCATTCAGCTCAAAGATGGCTTCCGCCTCTTTCAGCCCCTGATGCTTGCACCATGCCTTCATCATCTTGTCAAAGGTGGATGTCCCCTTCATCCTGAAATCCACAATGTTCTCGCCGCCTTCTCCTTGTGCCATGACCTGAATGTCGATCTTCTCTTCTCCACCACCAGAAAGTGACTGGGAGCTCGCGGCTTCCCGCCTGCATGGCGCTTGGGCCTCGCTTGGTGCTTGGGCCTCGTGCGACCCGGACAACTCCTCTTCTCTGGGCTTTGCATTGATCTTCATGGTGCCGTCTGAACGAGACCATCCGCAGCTTGCCGGGGTATCATCCGCCTTCAGCTCCCGCCCATTCAGCTCAAAGATGGCTTCCGCCTCACTCAGCCCCTGATGCTTGCACCATGCCTTCATCATCTTGTCAAAGGTGGATGTCCCCTTCATCCTGAAATCCACAATGTTCTCGCCGCCTTCTCCTTGTGCGATGACCTGAATGTCGATCTTCTCTTCTCCACCACCAGAAAGTGACTGGGAGCTCGCGGCTTCCCGCCTGCACGGCGCTTGGGCCTCACTTGGTGCTTGGGCTTCATGCGACCTGGCCATCTCCTCTTCTCTGGGCTTTGCATTGATCTTCATGGTGCCGTCTGAACGAGACCATCCGCAGTTTGCCGGGGTATCATCCGCCTTCAGCTCCCGCCCATTCAGCTCAAAGATGGCTTCGGCCTCACTCAGCCCCTGATGCTTGCACCATGCCTTCATCATCTTGTCAAAGGTGGATGTCCCCTTCATCCTGAAATCCACAATGTTCTCGCCGCCCTCTCCGTGTGCGATAACCTGAATGTCGATCTTCTCTTCTCCACCACCAGAAAGTGACTGGGAGCTCACGGCTTCCCGCGTGCATGGCGCTTGAGCCTCGCTTGGTGCTTGGGCTTCGTGCGACCTGGGCAACTCCTCTTCTCTGGGCTTTGCATTGATCTTCATGGTGCCGTCTGAACGAGACCATCCGCAGCTTGCCGGGGTATCATCTGCCTTCAGCTCCCGCCCATTCAGCTCAAAGATGGCTTCCGCCTCACTCAGCCCCTGATGCTTGCACCATGCCTTCATCATCTTGTCAAAGGTGGATGTCCCCTTCATCCTGAAATCCACAATGTGGTCGCCGCCTTCTGCCTGTGCCATGACCTGAATGTCGATCTTCTCTTCTCCACCACCAGAAAGTGACTGGGAGCTCACGGCTTCCCGCGTGCATGGCGCTTGAGCCTCGCTTGGTGCTTGGGCTTCGTGCGACCTGGGCAACTCCTCTTCTCTGGGCTTTGCATTGATCTTCATGGTGCCGTCTGAACGAGACCATCCGCAGCTTGCCGGGGTATCATCCGCCTTCAGCTCCCGCCCATTCAGCTCAAAAATGGCTTCGGCCTCACTCAGCCCCTGATGCTTGCACCATGCCTTCATCATCTTGTCAAAGGTGGATGTCCCCTTCATCCTGAAATCCACAATGTTCTCGCCGCCTTCTCCTTGTGCCATGACCTGAATGTCGATCTTCTCTTCTCCACCACCAGAAAGTGACTGGGAGCTCACGGCTTCCCGCGTGCATGGCGCTTGAGCCTCGCTTGGTGCTTGGGCTTCGTGCGACCTGGGCAACTCCTCTTCTCTGGGCTTTGCATTGATCTTCATGGTGCCGTCTGAACGAGACCATCCGCAGCTTGCCGGGGTATCATCCGCCTTCAGCTCCCGCCCATTCAGCTCAAAGATGGCTTCCGCCTCACTCAGCTCCTGATGCTTGCACCATGCCTTCATCATCTTGTCAAAGGTGGATGTCCCCTTCATCCTGAAATCCACAATGTTGTCGCCGCCTTCTGCCTGCGCCATGACCTGAATGTCAATCTTCTCTTCTCCACCACCAGAAAGTGACTGGGAGCTCACGGCTTCCCGCGTGCATGGCGCTTGAGCCTCGCTTGGTGCTTGGGCTTCGTGCGACCTGGGCAACTCCTCTTCTCTGGGCTTTGCATTGATCTTCATGGTGCCGTCTGAACGAGACCATCCGCAGCTTGCCGGGGTATCATCCGCCTTCAGCTCCCGCCCATTCAGCTCAAAGATGGCTTCCGCCTCACTCAGCCCCTGATGCTTGCACCATGCCTTCATCATCTTGTCAAAGGTAGATGTCCCCTTCATCCTGAAATCCACAATGTTGTCGCCGCCTTCTGCCTGTGCCATGACCTGAATGTCGATCTTCTCTTCTCCACCACCAGAAAGTGACTGGGAGCTCACGGCTTCCCGCGTGCATGGCGCTTCCTCGCTTGGTGCTTGGGCCTCGTGTGACCCGGGCAACTCCTCTTCTCTGGGCTTTGCATTGATCTTCATGGTGCCGTCTGAACGAGACCATCCGCAGCTTGCCGGGGTATCATCCGCCTTCAGCTCCCGCCCATTCAGCTCAAAGATGGCTTCGGGCTCACTCAGCCCCTGATGCTTGCACCATGCCTTCATCATCTTGTCAAAGGTGGATGTCCCCTTCATCCTGAAATCCACAATGTTCTCGCCGCCTTCTCCTTGCGCGATGACCTGAATGTCGATCTTCTCTTCTCCACCATGTTCTATAACCGCCTGAGAGCCTTCAGAATCCAGCATTAGCGCCATGGGCAAAGCAAGTGGCAGCGAGGGAAGTTCATCTGCTTTCCTCCCTCAAGCCCTTGATGGTTTGATTGCTGCAGCTTCAGCGCTTCTGACAATGCCTGAAACTCTGCCCTCTTACACCCTAGGGAATGGCATGTGTTGGCTAGCAGCGCAACAATCCACATGCGGAAGGCTTGGACCCTCTGGCAAGTTCTGAGGTGAATGCCATGACGCCCACCAGGAGGCTGAAGGCCAATGCCACCACCGCAAAGGCAACGACTGCCTCGAGGGAAACCACATGTCTTCCTCCCAAACCTTCCCGTTGCCCTGTGTTCCTTGGCGCCTGGCCGCTTGTGACTGAAAGTGTATAACTCAGAATAGAACGACTCGTAATCCCAAGATTCTGGCAGCAGACTTTGTCCGTTTTTGCTAGCTGTTCGGACTGTTTGGACGGGCTGTTGAAAGGAGCGCCTTTGCAAACTTCTTTGTACACGAGGCAACACAACCTTGAAAGGCGCCGGAGAAACGGAAACAGCTTGTACCTGCGAGTCGCAAACTCACTAAATTCAGCCACGCAACCAGTCAGCGTGGCAATGTGGCTCGTCCCAAGACATTGACGCTGTGACTCAGACGTCAGTTCCCTGCACTTCTCTCACCACTGATATATACCCATGTTGCACCCCGAGTAACTGGCAACCCGGCCACAAAGCTGGGCACCCTCGCGCGTTGCGCAAAGAGCACCCAACCCTCTGCATTGTCGTGGCCGGCAACTGCCTCCGGGAGGTTGCCAAGGAAATGGTAGATATCCTGTGTTGTGCGTGTGTATGTGTATATGTATTCTATGTGTGTGTGTATGTGTAATTATATGTGTATGTTGCGTCTGTTTGTGTGGGTGGTTGATATATCGATATGTATGTTTGCTGGATTATAAACTTGGTTTGCTTGTGGTTTAATTTGGCTTGGCTTGGCTTGGTTTGGTTTGGTTGGCTTGCTTTGGCTGGTCTGGTTCGGTGTGGTTTTCTTATGTTTCGCGCTGTGCTTGTTGTGTTGTAGTGTGGTGTGTTGTCTTTGTCTGCTTGGTTTCTTCTCGCTCGCTCGCTAGCTTGGTCATTTGTTCCTGGTGATCAACAGCAACTGGGAAGGATGGAGTGCTAAGGCTGTTCATCATCCTCAAGTGGCGCCAGGTGTCTGGCAACCAAGAGTGTAAAGTTTCACGCGGGCAGGAAAAGCAAAGACGCACATCCAGGAATCTGCAACAGGGAGCATGGGGCCATCCCAAGCGACAAACACGATTTGCTGCTTTTTGTTGGCATCTACCGCAATCAATCGGATCGAAGCAACCTGATGTGGGATATTGTTCCGTTCTGCTTCTTCAAGATGTGTAGATCCACTGGCATGACGTGCTCCGTCGGTTGTCCGACCGCCATTGCACGGTCCCTTGCTTCATACCTGAGACTACAGGCTGTCACTACCCATGGCATGAATCCTGGGCCCCCTTGCCAACACCAAGCTGTGATACTCTGGCATCCTAGCTTAGCCAGAGCGGTCCGCTAGCCGCAGCCAAAAGCAAAAAAAAAAGGAGCAAAATGTGCAATATGCTCCAAAAGACTGATGCGGAAGACTGCATGACAAGTTTATTGGGGCGCAGCGGGCAACTTCTGCCACGGAGAGAAACAGCCTCAGATATGCCAACATGACCTCTAGTCAGAATCAATGCATTGCCCTAGCAATTGAACATTGCTTTCGCAGCTGCGATGACGCCGTCAGAACTTTGATCCTGTTTCTGCCTCGCGGTCAATGGCCGCCCACGCCTGCGGCTCTGTGGACGTGGGCATTGCCTGCCCAGAGATGTAACTGCAGTTGGCCAAGCTCATGCCACGTGCCTTTGCCGACATTTGAAGCCGGACCCATGCTCTGACCCGGTTTCGCAGTCTCCTGCTGGGCTTCCTTTGAACTCCGAATCAGGTTGCAACAGTCTGATACCGGAGGCTGTCAAAGCACGGGCCCAGGTCCAATGCCAAGCAAAAACACATGCTGTCTGACAAACATGGAGCAGTGAAACATGAAACACTCCGATTTCACTTTTGAGCTCAGAGTGCGTCACTCGGCGTCACTTGTCTTCCTCTCTCCAAGCAAATTGGCGTCCAAACGAGTCTCCGGTCGCGCCTCCCCCTGCACCACGGACTGTGGCAGCGCTGCATAGGCGCTCTGCACGCCCTGGAGGACCTGAAGCGGGCGGATGGCTGGAGATAGCGGGGAGAAACAGAAAAGAGCCCGGGAGGGAGGGGACGAAAATGGGCCGACATGGCTTCGTGCTGGCAGATGACTCTTTCCTGAATGAGGATGGGGATATCAGACACGGATTGACAACTTGACAGTATCTACAAATGTCCAGTGGTCAGGTCTTTGAACATGGCAGAAGGAGAAGGAAAACGAATAAACCAGCAGAACAACCGAAAGAGAGGGAGCTCCCATGGTTGCTCCATCCTGAGCGTTGAATGGTGTTCTCTGCTAGAGCTCCTTATGCAAGCGGATGGAGTGTTGCACTGGAATAGTCACACCCCAGTCATGGCAAGGTGAGGAAGCAAAAAAGCCAGGGTCAAAAAGGGGTGAGAGCCCCCAAAGCCTTCCTTTGACCTGCCATTCCGCCTGTCTGGCTTGGGCTGCGGTTGCATCCATACCAGGCATAAGCACGCAGCTTGCAGGTAAAAGAAAAGCCCACAGTCTCACTTTGCGCATCGTGGCTGGCTCCCTTCCTTGCAAACAAGCCCCATGCCGTTTGCCCAGTTGAGGTCGGGGTTTTCCAGGGCTCAAGACACTTGGGGAACAGCCCAGAGACCCAGACAGTGGGAATGGTTCAGCCGTATGAGACATGGCCAAGAAACAGCTCGTCGTGAAGCCATGCCATTCTGAACCCATGGCTCTGGCTCTGCTGCATCCTTAAGCATCGGTCTGCCCCATTCCTGCCTCGAAGCACCGAGTGGAACGGCTACCAAGGCCCCGGGCCGCAGCACTCACGCTCTTCGTGGACAAGGCGTTCTCCACTTTTTGGCCCACCGAGGTGGTGTCCTGTGCCCAAGCAACATGGATCTGGACGGAGCCTGCCAGACCCAAAAGTGGGCCAATACCGGAAGACAACTCGCATGTGTGAGACTTGCATCGGCGGAGGCCTCCACTTGCGTACACAAAAAAATGCTGATACCTTCAGCATCGTTGATTTGGACGACCCACGCCTAGAATCCCAGCACATGTGTCCATCCTCACATGAATCATCAATGAACCGTACACCTGCAAGCATAGTGAAACCCGTCCCCAATGAAAAAAACATCAACTGTGAAAGGCAGCACTTGTTAACACTGGATGATGAACTTGGCGGCGGTTTGTCAGTCGGGCGCTCCTCGCACAGGTACCGGCAACTCTCTGTGACAAGCACCGCCTGTGCAGCGCTGACAGGCGCGGAAGCCCGGGGATAAAACCTAAGTCGCCAGCTGGCTACACAGCTACACATGTTGGAACAACTACTCTACAAGATCAGCTCAACAGCTGCCAATCAATCGGAGCAATGGGCGCAAGTAGAGCACGCCCTTTGGATATCATCTGTGGAATTCCACCTTTGCAAGAGCCAACGAAACCATGAATGTCTCGAAGAGCTGTCGTCCAAGGAGGCCTCAGAAGCTTGGGCTATGGCTATCTTGTGGAGAGCCGTAAGGCGCCCACGAATTCCATCGAAGCTTTTGGGTTCCATCAAAGCTTTTGGATGATTGAGTCAACAAGAATTGAGCTGTGTATGTATGTGTATGTGTATATGCATATAAATACCATTGGCTTCCCGGCAGGTACATTTTTCGGTTTGCATCGAGACGGCGTGTTTTGTGCGAAACAACAATTTTGCAAGTTGAATGTTGCAGACGGTTACTTGCCAAATCGAAACGGGGCAATGTTGCCCGTCCAAGCGGCAACCGTTCCCGTCCAAACGGCAACCTTTCCCAGGCATTCTGTGAAACGGCAGTTTTCTAGGCAAACATCGCTTTTTTCGCGAAACGGCAGAAGAATATGCCTTTTCGCCAAACGGCAAAAAAGTTCGCAGGTGTGTGTGTGTGTATATATATATATATGTATATATATAACCCGTAGGCGATCGTGGTCCTGGTGACCGTGGAACGTATTCCGGCATGAAGCCATGATTGTGCTTGTGCCAACTGGAAACAGTTGCGAGTGCCGTGGCTGAAGAATGGCGCAGCGCGTTAGGAGATGCCTCCAAAGCGCATGCTAGGAAACACATCCTGATCATTATTTCGTTCTCAGCAGAGTAGACCGATGGCACACAACCCCTCCGGGCATCGCTCATTTTGGTGCAATTCGGATCCTCTTCTCAACCATGCAGCATCTCAATGGCCAGAAAGCCCATCGCCTAGTCCACCCATCATTTATAGCTTACAGTGGGAGGGGGGGAGTTCGTGGACAAGGCCCAGTGGTTCTGGGTGCTGCTTGCGATGTCGGCCCATCCTGGCTGCTCTTGGGAAGTACCAGAAGCAGCGCCCTGTTGGGGCCTGACGAAAGCTGGCTCACGTCTCGATAACGGAACTCCGAAGCAGGGTTGCCACAATGATTGTGGACAGCATAATGATGTAGGAAAAGTTCAGAACCCCAAAGTCCCACGGCGGCGTCCCAAGTTTGTGCGCCAAGCACGAATGCCGGTGCTGGCAGAATTGCTGTAACAAGTCCCGAAGCATAGGTAGAGTGTCACAAGCCTTTGAAGCACCAAATGTACCATGGAGACCCTGGTTCCTAGCTAAGAAAGACAAGCACTCACTTGAGAGAACAAGGATTTGTTCAATCAAACACCTTTTGGACGGGGGTCCCTAAAAGCAATTACCCCCAACAAAAAGTACCCCATGTCACTCGAGATGACGTCAAGAAGGCACATCATGAAGGCACTAATGACTGGAAACCGGTTACCAACCAAGTGGCCTGAGTTTTAACGTACAATGAAAAAGCTATGTAAAAGACAAGGCAGATGAAAAGACACTGCCCGCAAACATTGAACTTTACAAAGAAAAAGGCGGATCAGTAGAACTTACTCTGGTTCATAGAAGAATTGCCTGAAGCAAGCGACAAAATCCAAGGCACGGACAATGGGTGTTCTGCCCCCTTGCCATCTCCTCGGTGTTCCATTCCGACCTCGTGGCAGCGAGCACTTTTGTTTGAAGCCACCTACTCCTTGCCTGAAGGCCACGAGAGCTGCCAGGCAAGTCATAATCAGCCCACCCACCCCACCCACTGAATATTATTGTAATGCCGCTTACAGCCTGCAAATCTTTGCCCGGGCGGAAGGCACTCGGCCAGGATTTCACCTGAAGCATGCGGATTTTTGCTACTGTGATCGCAAATCGCCGAGAGCCAACGGAAACCGTCCGCACATTCGAAGCAAACGCCAGACACAAAATGAAGCAGGTCGTTGGCGTCACAGTCCCGCTCCACTTGAGGGGGGGCGGAGGCAATGTCTGGCAGCGCACTACTGATTGGACAAAGTGTGCCCTCCAAGTCATTGTCACGACCCAAGCGAAAGTAGTCTCGGGCACAACCCGACAAGTAATATGAAAGGAGACCCCTGGTGCATTGACGTGGGTGCGCACAAATGGTCAGACCGAGTGTGGCAATGAAACTCACGCGCTGCCCTATCCTCACTGTAGAAGAGCCACTCTCATTTTTCCGACCCACCATGTGTCCTGGAGCAATCACTACGGTGGCAAACTGATTCAATGCACCCATTCTTCTGGGAGAGCGTCTCGAGCATCTCTCTTGGCCCCCACGCATGATGAGGTGCCCATACTGCTTCACTGCAGTCACAGGTTCCTCCGCCTCAAGGACAGCCAATGAATGATGTCAAGGACCCACTAATCATCCCTTGCAAATCGTATCCTCTTCTGGGAGCTCGGCCATGACGAGAGATGTAAAAAAACAGATTTGCATGATTGTCGTCGTAACGCTTCTCGTAGATCTTGTTAGGAAGTTCTTGAGTAGGGACATGTGGTGTGTGTGTGTGTGTTTGGGTGGTTTCGTCTCGGCCCTCCTCCAAGCGGTCAGATCCCTTTTTGGATCATAGGGATCTTCCCCATGCCTAAGCCAGCCAGCTCCCGCATCTGCTCAGGGATCTCTGCATCCAGACGAAGCCAATTGCAGTTTCATCCAAACGACGCACCAGCACACGAACGTTGGTAGCCCAACCCAGCCCCCACTCTGCCCGGCGCCGGTGAGCCGGCTGGACCTAAACCACAATCATCCTTGCGGTCTTCCTCAGCCCTTCTTTCTTCTCTGCTCAGCCCTCCGGCCAAGGCCAGGCGTGAGCGTTTTTGCAGCTCATTGCTGGCAAGCTTCACAAAGCCGGCGAGGCTGAAGTTGGGGGACTGGGACGTCTCTTTGAGGCCCCTTGGGCCCTAGCGCTCAGACTCCAGGCCTCCATCAGCCCCCACCAATCCCCAGACTCAGGCCAATCTTACTCACCCCCCCCCCCGGAGCTTCTGGTTATGTTCAGCCTGGCTGAGGCGGGCAGCGCGCAGCATTTACACATAAGCTCGAGGCATGGAACTGCCAAAAATCCAAGCACGTCTCTGCTCGAGAGGCAAGCTACATGCATCAGCCTTCACTGAGAGACAAGTACAAGAGAGTCCAAATGGGGATGTACTTCGGGGTAACCCCCAAAAGATGGTGGCGGCATTCCTTCAGTTTCCCTTTAGGCCAAGTCAAAAAAGGAAAACACTCAAACGAAACACGCGCCATGTAGCTAATTACGGCAACAGGGGTCGATGAACACAAAACCGGGGTTCACGCCATGGTCAAAACGCACTTGCTGGAAATCCTTACCTCGTTTGTTTTCCCATCTTTTCCAAGGTAAAGGGGTCTTTTGACCATGCACATTTGGGCGCCTTGAGAACCTGATGTAGCTGGCGGAGAGCCGCAAACAAAGCACGACCGAAACATTTCAGCCAATCAAGCCCCAGATCAACACATCCCAGCTCACCGGCACTCTGTGGTCCATTCCACGTTGCAAACCCCCTGCCCTTCTTGTTCTGTTGTTTTCAAGCTCATTTCCTGAGTGGATTGGTCACAAGTCCAAAGTTCTGTCTGCTACCACTTGATCCCAAGTGACTCAAGTCAACTTGTGGAAGCTCCAGACCCCAGTAAAATTCCATGGGGAATAAGCTCAGGTGATGTCCCCAACAGCAACGCCCGCCCGCATGGGTGCGCACGGAACCCTCCCCGCAACCCTCCCGGGCGCCGGGCCCCCTTGCGCAACCCTCACGGAACCCTCGCGCCCCCCTGCATCCCCGCAACCTGGCCTGTGCCAGCAACCTCCGGAACCTTGCTTTAACCTTACACCTGGCCTGCAAACCTCCAGAACCTTTCCCGAACCTGACTCCAAAGCTCCCCCAAGCCAGCCCTCCAAAAAAAGAGGAAACACTGGCACTCAAATGAAACACAAATCTGCAAAAAGAAAAACATTTCAAGGGACGGGGTCAATGGGTCGACCCAAGGGCCCCTCAAAGGGTCAGGGCACACAGCCAGGATCCCAAGACTGGGCCACTGGATCCGATCCTTTCCCAACTTGTTGTTCGGATGCCGGATCCAATGGGGCCCGTGTCTTTTCGAGGCCAAAGGTACCCTTTTCATATTGGTTTAAAGGAATAATTTTGAGTTCATCATTCTTTCAGACCGCGGTCCGCGGCAGATTTGCGCCGTCGATGTCAGTACAGCCCAAACTCAGGCGCAGCTGCTCTTGCACCTGGCTGCTGTCTCCGCCGCGTTGTGCATGACCCCAGGTCACAACAGCCCCAGATTCAAGAATGGCAGCAAAAGCACCATTGGAAGCTGCTTGGATGTGACGAACGTTCCTCAGCTGCTCTTGCACCTGGCTGCTGTCTCCACCCCAGGGCGCAACGCCCCAGGTGACAACAGCCCCAGAATCAAGAATCGCAGCAAATGCATCCTCAGTTGCTTGGATGCTCTGGACGTTCCTCAGCTGTTTACCCCAGGCCACAACAGCTCCAGATTCAAGAATTGCAGCAAAAGCACGCGCAGTTGCTTGGATGTGCCGGACGTTCCCCAGCTGCTCTCGGAGGTGGCTGCTGTCCCCACCTTTTCCTGGATGACCCCAGGTCACAACAGCCCCAGATTCAAGAATGGCAGCAGGCAGCAAAAGCACCATTGGAAGCTGCTTGGATGTGACGAACGTTCCTCAGCTGCTCTTGCACCTGGCTGCTGTCTCCACCACTGTCTGAAAGACCCCAGGTCACAACAGCCCCAGATTGAAGAATGGCAGCAAAAGCGAACGCAGTTGCTTGAATGTGCCGGACGTTCCTCAGCTGCTCTCGCACCTGGCTGCTGTCTCCGCCGTAGCGTGCATGACCCCAGGTCACAACAGACCCACATTCAAGAATGGCAGCAAAAGCACCAACAGTTGCTTGGACGTGCCGAACGTTCGTAAGCTGCTCTCGCACCTGGCTGCTGTCTCCGCCACGTAGTGGATCGCCCCAGGTGACAACAGCCCCAGATTCAAGAATGGCAGCAAAAGCACTCACAGTTGTTTGGATGTGCTGAACGTTCCTCAGCTGCTCTCGCACCTGGCTGCTGTCTCCGCCACGTAGTGGATCGCCCCAGGTGACAACAGCCCCAGATTCAAGAATGGCAGCAAAAGCATCCTCAGCTGCTTGGATGTGCTGAACGCTTCTCAGCTGCTCTTGCACCTGGCTGCTGTCTCCGCCGCGTTGTGCATGAACCCAGGTCACAACGGCCCCAGATTCAAGAATGGCAGCAACAGCGCCCTGGGTTGCTTGGACGTGCTGGACGTTCCTCAGCTGCTCTTTCACCTGGCTGCTGTCTCCGCCAACGCGTGGACCACCCCAGGTCAGAAGATCGCTCCCGTGGGCATGAAAGGCAAAGGCTTTAGCAGCGGCAGCCAGCTTGCCAAGCTGCACAACTGCAGCCACCACATCCCCATCTTGCAATCCAGCCTCGGTGAGAGTGGCTGTCAACTCGAGCTGCCGGCCTTTCGCAACGAGCTCCACACGACGCTTGAACTGCTGCTGCACGGTAGCCTTCAGCTCGCCGACGGGCCTTTTTGGACATTGCTACGGAGCAACCAGCTCAGCTGGGCAGGTGAACAGCCACCTTCATGGCGCAGGAAGGTTCTTCCGGATGTATTCAAGCTGCCAAAATCGCTCAAGGGATTTGTGTAAAGATAGACCACAAAAATGGTTCGTGTCCTTCAAGCTTCCCTTTGAAACAACCCCAGAAAAGGTTCCCTCAACAAAACAGCCCGTGTATGATTGCCTAGCTTTCCAAAACAACCAGCCACTCGTGGGGCTCAAAGCGATCGTGGCTCATACAATGCATGTTGAGCCAACAAAATATGGAGTCTGCCTCAAACTAGGAAACAACCTGCATGGTTTTACATTCACTTGGCCAGCATTTTTGGAACTGTCCAATTCGGTTCGGTTTGTAAAAGACAAGCCAAGCAGGGGGAAATGAGCCCACTCTGGAATATCCAGAGTGAGGCAGTTGGGATCAATAAACCAAGTCAAGCCAAGCTAAGTCAGCATGGCAAAGAAATGCAAAGCAAATAACAAAGCCAAGCAAACTCAGGTGGCATTATGAAGCACATCCTTGGCCTCAAATCCCGAAATCGAACTATTTGAAGCATCTAGTTGTGCCGGAAGCGCCTTCCAAAAATATCGGGAATTGTGTTTCTTCACTCTGAATTTGTCAGCTGTCAGCCCCATGCCAAGCCTGGGCGATGGCAACTCCGACGTAAAAGGGCGTCAAGTGCTGCTGGTTGATCTGGGAGAAGCGAGGATTTGTGTCATTGATGAAGAAAGCACTGCTCTGAGTTGTAGCCAACCAAACAGTGAGCCAAGCTGGCCCCAGAACGGGCCAGCCTATGCCGCCAGTGTTGCATAAGAAAGTCCCTGTGTGAGCGCAAGGCTCTCGAGAAGTCGGAACCAAACTTGTGAGAAAAGCGTGGTTTGCATCCCCATGTGTGAGGTACGTAAGATGGGAAGACCTCTCGTCGTGGTCAATCCTGCAACATGGCAGCCCCTACAGTAACACGGCCAACAAAATTGTGGGAAGTGTCGCTGGGCTGAATTGGACTTGGCCCTGAGGCTGACGGGTTGACTATGTCAGATCGTGGGATGTGAATGCGGCATGAACCCATCAAGTTGAGCGAGTCACTGAGGCTGCAAATATCCATTCAACATAAGAGCCTCGGTTGGCAGGCCCATGCCATTTGCTTTGGTTAGTGAGAAGCTGAACAACTTCGTGTGGTACACCTTCGTTGTGCGCCAGCTTGTCAGCTAGTTTTTTGGGGCCCTCGCCTTTGAAGGTTGCGACAAAACCCTGTCAGCAAAGATATAAAAGGTTGCTTGACCGTCTGAGCAAATAGCACCAAACCCAAAGTGCTTGAGTGATCAACAGGAGATGTTGAGCACTTTGGTGTGTGGCCCAGGAAACGGCTCTCAGCACCCCGCCGGCTCAAGCACCAAGTCCTCACAAAGCACCAGGTGCCGCGAGCGCAACCTGCGCTCGGGTGGTGTGGTATGGGCTTCCTCCAACCAAGGGCTGGGTGGAGGCTGGGAAAGGTGGAGTTTTGGAAGGCGGGTGATGTTGGAGGGATCTTGCCCCAGGGATGTAGGGGAATGCAAGAGGACCGGTTCGGCCAGGCGGAGACCCGACGCACAAACAATATCTTTGCTGATTGGGATCCAGCACCTGTTGGTCGTACAGAGTGCAGGTGATGGGTGTCCAAGCCAGGAAGTGGAAATTCCAGTGGCCCGTTCGGGTATCGGGCAACTCTTGTTCGAGAGGGGCTCTCCCCGAGGCAAGACTGGCAACGAGACCACTGAAGATTCAGCGGCAATTTCCGGTCTTTCTTCCACGGACCATGCCGACAGCCAAACTAGTTGCGGGGAATCTTGAGGCATCATGCTCAAGTAACACATCTCGTGTGTCGTCGGCGTACTCAGTGAACCGAATATACCATCCCACCAATTGACGTGGAATCCCTTTACAAGGAGAATGGTCAGAATGGTGTTCCAAGGACCCCCTGTCAGGTTCCATGTTACTTGAGGGTAAGGGGCGCCCCATCGCGTAAACTGCAAACCCTTCGAGGCGGGGGGGGGGGTTGGGGGTCCGCTGGGGATGGCAACCGAAACTGCCAGACCCACCTGGCAAGCTCCGTGGTGAGGTTCTGGCCTAGAGGGATCTCCAAAGCCACTGAGGATGAGTTCGTGTCAAAGCTTCCAAAGTGTTCTAGTTTTTTTTTTTTTTTTTCTGAATGACAAACAAAATTGAAAGTTAGCCGACCCCCAAAAAAAACAAGACCGGGCTGTGGAGACACGGTCACCCTGAAATTGAGACCCCGAGTGGGAACACTCTGATTCAAAGCAAACAGTATCAGTGGCGCTAACGGTAAACATGTCTGGACTAAGACATAGATGAAAGAAAGGTGTCCTCAGAACTCAAGGGTGCGAACTCATAAGTCGGGATGAGTAGAGAATCCAACACTTCACACATGGCATGTGCTACAGCTTAACAAGGCCATATTGGGGTCGCCAGAAAGTTGGTCCGACTGAATTCGTGCACAGTCCAAGATCGAAAAGCCAGTTTCTGCCACTTCTGGTTGACCAAATGCAGGGCAGAGGTGGAGTGGTGACATGTCAGACATGTAGGCTCCACAAAACAAGGATACCATGATCGCAGGAATGCATAAACGCTCGCAGCAGGCCTCATCTTCTTACCCTTTGGAATTCCGTGCACAAGCCAGGACGTGTAAGAGTCCTAAAGCGTTGACCATACAGCACCGGACACCTGACTGGGCTGTTACAAATGAAAGATAGACCATGCGATCCTAATCCATAATCCGTTAGGAAACCACAACAAGGGGGTCTGTTACGTAACCCAAAGGAAGGACTCATGATTGCCTTGGAACAGCTCATGTAACGCCATATCGTGATTGCGTCCTTCGAACCATTTCCTCTTGTCCTCAGGTCCTCTCGCGTTTCAGCATCGTCCTGTTTGTGTCCTTGATTCTTGACCAACAGAAGACACTGTCCCCATCATGGCAGGGACCGACCCTCGGCACTGGGCAGGCAGGCGTTCCGGCAAGCTAAGATAGCCATAGGGATCGCAGAAGAACCTCAGTCGTCGCCATAGGGATCGGCAAGAACCTCGTCTGCTGATTGGCAAGACCGCGCGGAAGAATACACCCAAAATGTGTGACTGCACCCTCAAACATGTCAGTGCTCAGCCCAATATCAAAAAGAAGAAAAAACAAAAACAACACCCTGGGAAGTGACTCCAGAGAAAGTACGACAGGCTTCAGGGAGAGGAAAGACTGGTTTCTTGACGACGCTCCGGGCCATCCATGTGAGCTGTCTGTCAGGCCAGTTTTCCGAGCGCGATGCTCACCGTTTGAATTGCAGACCGGCTCCTGGCGAGAGAAACGCTGGAGCTCAGTCACAGGCCTCTTGCTAGTCCAATGAACGACATTGGCCTTTCCTCTAATCACGAGGAGTTGATAGAACCTAGCTTAAGAAACGAACAAAACAATAGCGCGACATTCTGGTCATGAGGGCCGTCGGGTTGAATGCATGGATTGATAAGTTGCTGACCCTTGTCCCTGCCTGTCAACACATCAATGGCATTTCCACTGAGCTCTCCAAGCTGTCTGCTACAGACTGCCAGGTGGCAAAGTTCCGACCGGGGCATGGAACAAGTAGCCGCCAACCAGCGAAGCGCAGCAAGGTCCACTCCCATCGCGCCCCTAAGCCAAAGTGCGTTGCCGGAATTTCAGCACGGCACCTTGAAGCTTGGGTAGTTGTAGAGCGTCACATCCTTGACCTTGGATCAGACAGAAATCATAGGCCTCCACCGACAGATCCAAACATCCCCATCCAGCTGACCTCTGACAAGTCCAAATATGACAAACTAAGACGAAGTGTAGAGAAACACAATGCTCGATTTGGAGGGCAGGGACAGGCAAGGCATGTGCAGGAAAGCTTCATACCATGATGAAATGCCCAAGGCAATGCCTGGTGCAACGAAGAAAACAGAATAAATTCCCGCTAGAAACGCGGGATGCTCCCAACAATGTAATTACTCAGCATAACTCTCCAAATTATTTGGGGGGGAGGCTAGTTGTGAAACAAGTTACTCAATGTCTTACAGGCACTGCCTCTCCATGGAGATATTGTCAAGGCCTATCGGCCACCTGCTCAACCTGACTCTCGAAAGGTTTGTCGCAAAGACATGTTTCCACCTTTTGTGCGTTGCATTCAAGCCTGCTTGACAGGCACCACCAGGCACTGGACGTAGTGGGGTGGACTGGACCCCAGCATTTGTTCTGTTGTGAAGGGGACGCTGACAGAAAAGTAATGCTAAGACTGCTCTCCTCATGGTAAAGCTGAGTGGTGAACATTGAACTTGCTCTGGCTTTTGCCGACAATCCCTCAGAACAACTCACAAGAAGCGACCGATGACCAGAGGCATCTCAACAGAAGAAAAACAAAGTCGCGAATCTGGCGGATATTGATTGAAGCACACCACAAATGCTTCGCTGCTTCGCCCCTAGAGCAAGGCTTCCAGTGCAAAGGCGATACCATTGCTGAAGCATTGTTTCCCCCATTGATTCACAACGAATACCGTTGTTGGAGACAACGTCAGAGAAGCGCTAATGAAGAACAACTATCTACATCAATGTGCACCGATGGAGTATTCGTTCCGCATCCAATATCGAGACACAACCAGAATCGGTACGGTCTTGTCATGGCCGACAAACACCTGCCAGAATTTAAAAGTCAGTGCAATTGATCTCCATTTTGTCTCCAATGAAATTCTTTCGCTGACGCCATTCCAGAGGGGACATTCCATACGATCTCCATTGCCTCTCTTTTTCAATGTCATTTCATTGGGGGCCAAACAGTGGTTGCTAACCTCACGTCAACTGACCGGCTGTAACCCTGATCCAAAGTGATGCAGGGGTCCAACCAGCTTGACGCATTGCCCAGGCCATCCTGCTCTTTTGAAAACCAATCCAAGGCGCGTCTGTGCCGGCGCTCTGATTCATTGTGTACTTCACTGTCACCCTGGGATGCTCGAGAAACAGGATCTGCCACTGTGACAAATCGACGGACATTCCCAGCAAAAATGCGAACGGGGTACAATCCACTGGACCACTGCGGGGCCAGAAATTGTCTAAGGGCGGCAATGGCACAAAAGGGGACCTTCTTCCTCCCGTGGTAAATTCCCAAGTGTGCCATGATCCAAGGTCCTTTCAAGGGATGTGGAATGAAGCGGGGTTTGTCATCCGTCCCTGCATGAGAAGTAATGGAACGAATAATACTGTCTTGATGATCATCCCATAAAGCCGTCCTCCGAATGCTTCTGCAAAAGTGGGCATGCTGATGGACAACACAAACCCATGATCAACCACGATTCCCAACGGGCTATCACAAATTGCCAACCGCCCTGCACGAATGCTCCGGATGTGCACCTGAAGGAACCAAATTCGGCATAGCTCTGCAAAAGCAGCCAGAACTTGCGGAAGCTTCAGATCAAGTACGAGCAAACTGCCAGCAATTCCTTTGCATCCTTACAATATCACCCCAACAAATGCGAAGAATAGTAGTCCTGATTCAGGAAGCTCGTGTTGCTGGGCATTTGCAAAATTCACGACGTGCTCAAATGAGTTGTGCACAAGAATTCCAGTCAACGAACAGAATACGGGCGATATCCATCCCAAATCTGAAAAGTAGAAGCAGTTGAATGTTCAGGAAGCAGGAAACTACTACACAAACCCACCTCACCTGAAAAGTTGGTAATCCCAGCTGGGTGAATTATTGCCGTTGGCCCCACCTGAAATCACAGTTCATCCTTTTGGTCCTTGTCATTCTCCGCGAAATCGCCTGCGGATTGAGGGCGCTGCTCTTGCTGGGAGGTGTCAGGTCCGACCTGCAAGCAAGTCTGACTGTGGCTTCTGCAAAGGCCCAGCAAGGCCATTTTCTACTCTTGCGTTTGATCAACTTCAGAGGCTCAAAGCAACCAAGCCCAATACCCTCAAGATCCAAAAGGAGCAGGGCGTGTACGGTCCGCAAGTCCGGTCAAGAAATGAACGGTGTCTGGGAGAGCAGAATGACCACGTGATGCGGTCCCAAGCACATAACTGCCCCCTTGCATGTGGCCAACTTTGCAAAGTCCTGCCTGCGTCATGTTGAAAACCACCCTGACACTCCTGCGCGGGATCAAGCTCTACGAATGGCACGCGGTAGAAGCACTGGCATCTTGCTAACTTCGCCCGTGATGCTTGCAATAGGGTGAGGCTCTCAATTTAGAAATTCGATCTCTCGTCAGCGTTCTGTACTGCCATATCTCTCCCTGCACGAGGGGGGGGCATGCCATGGCTTGCCTGGGTTGCTCAAGGTTCCCTCCAAGGTAGGATGGGGCTGCTCCCCATGCGCTTTGCCTGCCATCTTGCGGCAGCAGGTCGTCGCAGGAGGCCAAGGGGTCGCGCTCGCGCGCCTGCACCAATTTGGCAAAGTCGATAGTGTCTGGGGCGAAGCGTCGGAGGGCACAGCTTTGGGATGGAGTAGCAATCCAGAGATTGCCAGCTTTGCAAAGGAAACCGACTCGAAGGTCAGAATCAGCAGCGCTTTGAGCTAGAAATACATGAGAAAGCCACGTCGGTCGCGGCCACGTCTCAGTGCAAACACGTCAGCAGCGCCCCACCTCAATGCACGCCTGGGTGGGATTGATGGGCTCGGAAGAAGACCTGTCGCCAGTGAGACGAGTCATGGGAACAAGCGGCTCAAGCTATCTCAGGCGTGCGCCATGGGAAGCTGTTAGCGCTAAAGAGCATCAAAGAAATGCCCTCAAAGCAAAGGATGCTCACGCAGCCAAGGCTACCGTCCAGAGACATTTCAATCCAGGATGCAGTTGCTGAGCGGGCACTGACCATCCACTTGCTAGGTATGAATTCACAGCTGGCCTAGCTGTTCTGATGGAGAAAAGGCAAGAGCCTTCCAACGTGTCGTTGACTCAAAAGATGTTGCCATCCAGGCAGCCCTTGCTCAATAAAGCATGCCGACTAGCCACGTCAACATGTGTCCTGAAGTTTGGTGGGGGCATTGCCAATGAGAAAAAGAACAAATCCCTGAAAACCGCTCTCTGCGATGCACGTCCTCTTCCCAGCCCTGCCTGGGTTGAAGACCCAGGCAGGGCAATGCCTGAGGCACAGCTTCGTCACACCATTCGCAGGCAAATTCCCAGTCAGCAGCAGCCGCAGAAATCAAGTACGCCTAGGCACCTCACAAGTCAAAGCCATGCATCATCTTGCGCCCTGCTAAAATTTGCTTTCAATTCAGCTCCTAAACCTCAATTCCACCATTAAAACTACAATGCCTGCAACATGCAGCTATCTATCGGTCCAAACCTGTTGAACAAACAAGGTGGACCTCATGATTTGGCCGTGTTGAAAGAGGTTTTCCCATAGCCGCAGAAAACAGCGCTGCCCCCATCGCAAAACTGGATTCGCAATCGCAGCCCGTCCAAGGCACGAGCCAACAGCAGTACCTGCAGGCTAGCTCTTGGAGAGGCTGAAACATTGGAGCTGAGAAGAATTCAAACCATGCATTGGTTGCTGTGGTTCTACCGTTGATCTTCAAAATTTATGAGTCAACCAAAACTTGAAGCCCCAAACCCGCTATGAGTACTGCCTAATCTTCAGCCAACCATGTCCACCCAACCAAACACAGGGTGGAGCAGGAGCAGATCCCAAAGTCAGGGATACAAGCTCCAGCGGAGCACGGGGTTCTTCCTTCTTTCAATGAAAGGGAAGTACGTGAAGCAAGCGAAGGACTGAACAAGCAAAAGCACCAGCAGTGATCGTCTACAAGATAAGCAAAAAGCTCATGTGAGCATGACACTTGTTCAATGTTTGAAGAATATGGCATCCCAAAGGAAGAAGGGCTGAGGGTGTGTAAGTATGGGGGTGCTGTTTGCAAGTGGCTCCCAAGACAGGCCGCCTGCCAGCGCGAAAGCCTCGCAGGACCTGTCCAGCAAACATTTCTTGCGTGCTTGGCTTGCTTTGGCTCCAAGATCAAAACAGGACCCTCACTCTCACACAAACACAGGTACAGACACAGACACACAGACACCCACACAAACACACAAACACACAACACACACACACGCACAGACACAGACACAGACACAAACACAGACACAGACACTCAGACACACACACACACACAAACACACACACACACACACACACAAACGCAACACAACACAACACAACACAACACAACACAACACAACACAACACAACACAGAACACACACACACACACAAACACAACACACACACACAGCACACACACACACAACACACACACAAACAAAACCACAAAAACACACACACACACAAACACAAACACAAACACAAACACAAACACAAACACACACACACACAAACACACACACACACACACACACACACACACATAACACAACACAACACAACACAACACAAAACAAAACAACACAAAACACACACACACACACACAAACAAACACACACACACACACACAACACACACACAAAACACACACACACAAACACAAACACAAACACAAACACAAACACAAACACAAACACAAACACACACACACACACACACACAGACACACAGACACACAGACACACACACACACACACACACACACACACACACACACACACACACACACACACACACACACACCCACGCGCGCGCGCACACACACACGCACGCACGCACGCACGCACGCACGCACGCACGCACGCGCGCACGCACGCACGCACGCACGCACGCACGCACGCACGCACAGGCACAGGCACAGGAACAGGCACAGGCACAGGCACAGGCACAGGCACAGGCACAGGCACAGGCACAGGCACAGGCACAGGCACAGGCACAGGCACAGGCACACGCACACGAACACGCACAGGCACTGGCACACGCACACGCACACACACACACACACAAAAAAAAAAAACACACACACACACACACACCAACCAACCCACCAACCAACCCCACCAACCCACCCACCCACCCACGCACGCACGCACGCACGCACGCACGCCTGCAATGTGGTGGCTCCAGTGTGCCGACACGCCCCCCAAACAAACGTGGAGCGCAATGTCCCCAGAAGCTGCACACTTGGGTAGTCCTTGCAAATGGATTTGGGTGCGGCCTGCCCCACCCAGCCCTGTCCAACTGCGCCTCTCATCTTCGCATTCTTTGGCGCAACTGGGAACGATACCAGATCCTTGGATAGCACACCGCTTGGAATCTGTTCCACAAAGTTCGAACAACATAAAGCCACGGTCATCCAGCAGGCTCAACATGAGGCCCTAGTCTCCCCAGCTCTGAGACCTCTTATTAGTCCAAGGGTCGGGGGCTGCTCCGGGCGGCAAGGGACTCTCCACCCCCAAACAGCTGCATGGCCGGCGTCAAGACACGTTGGCGCAGACTGTCCAGGCCTATACCCTGTTTACAAGACTCCTGACGCATCCTTCAACGGCAGGATGCGACACCAGGACCACCGAAAAAAATGTCGTAAGGGTGGCACTGGCATTCAGCCCTTCACGAGTAAATTCTTCCAGCGTCAAGTCTGAAACGGCCAAACCGCACTGCGAAAGACAGGCGCACAGCATGCGGTTTACCCATCAACTCGGCAACCCTTTTTCCACGAACCACCACAAACAAAGCGCACAAGAATAACTGAGCCACTCTCCCCAGTCCCCATGCCCTTTCTGTGCATGCTAACGCTGTCAACCCCGTCAGCTCAGGCTGGGCTGAGCTTGAAGTCCCTTCACTGCGTAGCTGCTTCGCAGCGTGGCACGCATGCTACATCCACAGCATCATCATCCGAGCGGGAAGCCCTGGAAGCTTTCAGCTTGCAAAGCTTTTTTCTCACAACTTCGCTGGAATGGGCAGGACATGCACCTGGGTCGCCAGCAAGAAAAAGGCTACGAATCGCCTCCAGGAAGAACGGTTCAGTTTCAACCCGGCATGCAGGAACCACTCGTATGAAACTTGTGTGATTGTCTTCTTCAAAAGCCCATGGTGTACATAGTTCGCATCATGTTTCCTCGGTTGGAAGCCAACTGCACTCTGACCAATGATTTTACCAAAAGCAGACGGGCCGGGGGAAGCCCCTCTGGCCCATTCCAGGGGCTCTGCCATTGGCCAACGCTACGTTCCACAACCTTCCTAATGACCTGGAGCGGCTGGAAATGGTCTGCTTCCGCGTGTTTCTCTGAACCCTGGCCTTTCCGCGCCCTGCCCAAAAAAGGGGGAGGAGAGGAACCCTGAAATCGAGTTCCTAAGCCATGTCAAATCGGCCGCGTGCCATGTCTTGGGCCATCGCAAACTGCTTCCTGCTTTCCCCGGGCAAACAAAACAAGAAGCCCTTAGCGCCCTGCGTGGACGTGCGGCACGGTTTGCCCTGCGTCGAGGCCGTCCTGGATGCCCAGCCTTGAGGCCTGCGAAGTGAGCTGGGAAACTCATGCAACCCATCTAAGTAGAACCAGCTCTTTAGATGTCCTGCCAGGCGCGGTCTGACCCAGAAGCCGACAAAAAAGAAAGAAAGAAAGAAAGAAAGAAAGAAAGAAAGAAAAGAAAGAAAGAAAGAAAGACGTCCAAAAATGTACCTGTTGCAAGACATTATCTATTCCTGAGCTCTACAAGGCTACAATATACCGCTGCGGCAGCGGTAGCGCTGCTTTGAGAGGAATTGACAGCGAATCGTTGCTCAAAGTGAGGAAACACTCTGACAACAACTCATCGAGAGCTGCAGAATTGAGTTCTCGCCCTGATTTCCAGCCTGGGATGTTTCGGCAATATCCTCGCCCTCGCTGCACATACGGTTGCTAGGAGTGGTACAGAAGTTGATTCGGGCAGATGTTCTCCCTTCAGATCAGAACCCGCCTTTGGCTTTGCGAAAGGCAAAGAAAGGGTCCGGCCCTTTACATTCGTAGTATCCCTTGGCTGGTCTATCAAGAAAGGACCCTGTCGTGAGGTCCAGAGGTTTGAGGCCAGCGCAGTTGTTCGAACAAAGCGACCGCTTCAAAGCCCTAGACACGTCGCCACTCACGGCTGGCCTCCGCACCATAGGACGACTCCAACGCGCCCTGCACCACTCGCACAGAGCGGAAGAGGTCATCGAACTCCTGAGCTTCAAGGACGCTGTCCTTGATGAGTACATGTGTTGCAAGCAAAAATTAGGAGTTCGCACCTGAGCCCTGCGGAAAAGTCTGCGCGCAACCATTAATAAACTGGGGCAGCATGAAAGAGAAAGATATTGGGTCCTTCCTGGTCTGCCAAGCCTTCCCCTTTAACACGCTACATCTCTTAACCCCGAGAAATAGGTCAGAAGGAAGAGAAATAGATGATGTCTGGATGGATCTGCTAATGAATGCAGCTTACATCATATCCTTCACCGATATCTTTATAATGGTAGCTCTTCTTTACAACTCCGGCAGAAATCCCGAGTAATAGGCTGCTTAACAGGAACAAGGACTGACGAATGGAGGACGGAAATCAGACCCCAAATTCTAGAGACAAATGATTGGGTAACTGATGAAACAAGCTCCTCTCCTTCCTGTGCCCATCCAATCATCAATCATAAGGTGGACGAAGCAAAGAGAGTTGGTCCCTTTAAGAGGAAATGTGTCTTTGAGGTTCCCTTTCGCAAATGCTATGTTCGTGGTAGGAAGGGTGGGTGATGATTGGTTGGGAGAATGAAGGAATAGACCATCCCCGCCGTCCTCCTGGGACAAATCTGCCAAGCGCGGCACCGTGCGCCGAGGGACCACCTTGCTTGCAAAACGAGCAGGGGAGCCAGTCAACAAGTCGCTTCCGTCAGGACCCTGGCCAGCACGTGGCCAGGAATCAAGGGCTTGAGATTCACAAAGGCCACCGTGAGGCCGCTGGGGGAGGCGTAGAACAAATGAGACCTCGGCGCGGTGTTTGAGCTTCGAGTTCTCAAGTGGAGCCCCTCCAGCAAGCAAATAGTCAGGGGGAAGCAAAAGATAACACAGAAAGTCCTTTAGGGCTTCTCCGCGGATAGTTGCGCAAACGACCTCTCACATTAGCACATTGGCAAATCTTGGCCGTCTAGAGGACATTTCCTGAGGATCACAAGTAGCCATCTGAAGTGGCCTGAAACTTCGGGCCGGCAATTCCATCCGTTTCATCGGATCACAGAAGCTTCAACAATGACCTCAAAGGATGCAGGACAACGCACATTCTTGGATTCAAGCTTGAACTTTCGAAACTAGTCAAGATGGACAGCAACAACTCTGAAGCAGGAAGAAAGCCAGTGTCTCCGAAAATCACACACAAGCGTCGAGATATTTTTTTGAGTGGGTAGTTACTTTCTGCGAAATGGGATCAGCTGTGAGCACCACCCCTTCCATGTCAGGCAAAGGCATGCAGGAAAGCGTGAGGGCTTGATGAAGTTGGGAGGGGCAGCGAGCAGGCACTGAGGAAATAGCAGGAAAATGTCACATGCACCGATACAATGGACCCCAATGTGAAGTGCAAGCAACCTGTGCACGCTGCATCCACAATGTCCCATTGCGACGCTACTGCCACTCACCCATCTCTGGCTATCCGGTGGCTATCCACTTGACGTGTTTTAACTTATTTCCTCAACATGTTTCAACGTTGGCTCCTTGTTTGCGCCAACTTCCGGCTGCGGCGTCCGTGCCGAGGCGATGACCGTGGAATGCGAAAGGAGGCAAAGGCCTTCCAGAGGCCAGCGGATCGGCAACTCAAGCTGACTAGCTTGTGCTGGGCATTCTCCCGCTCACGGCATTCTGGAACGACTTCGTTCCCGCTCGTACAGCTTCTGCATCATTTCATTGTCCGATGCGGCTCAAACCTTGCATGTTCTTCAAACGTCACAGCCTAAAGTATGGATCCTTCGAGACAAACAAACAAAAAAAGAAAAACCTAGTTCATTTGAATGGAGAATTCAAGCCAGCGACTTCTCCCTCTGCTCCGTTCCCTCCAATCAAAGCAGCAGGGACCCGATAGCACTGCCTGCTCTGCAGGGAAGCTGCTCTCTCCTAGGCGCCAAAGGAGGTCTACCTCTTTGGGGGTGACCAACCGTAGAGTCACCCACTCCCGCACTCTCAACCGGTGTTTCCCTTGGAAGGCTTTGTGGGGATTCTTCAAGGGAAGCCACAGGAAGACCGCCCGTTTGTTGTTTTTTTTTGGTGGGGGGGGGCGGGGTGTTCCCCCGTTTTGAGGCACGCCCAACTGCAGCACATCTTGCGCGGGAAACATCCCTCAGATCTTACACGGCCGTTATGTTGCAAACACAATCCCATCATCTACGGTCACCCACTCATTGCCCTTCCCCGTCCACCACGGTCAGGCCCTTGAGCGTATAGAGGAGTTACATGGGAAGGCGGGTCAGCCGCTGGCCATCTCTTTACACCGCTTGTCACGGAATCCATGCTGCAAAAGATGCAGATGTAAACGTGCAGAACCGACATGTTGGCCCGGCTGTGGCTCGGTTGCTGTCAAACAGCTTAGCGCCCACCGCGCGGCCGAACTGCACAGAGGACAAAGCACCATGCTTCGTAAGTCTTGCGACTCGGGCAACAGCTCACACTGAAACGCAACGATAGCATGTTGAGCAGGTTCTAGTTCCGTACCCATTTTAAAACGCTTCTCACCCAGTTCAATACAACCTGGGCTTCAACCTTGGCCACGATGTTTCTGGCAAAGGACCAGAATCCATAGGTCCCAAGGGTTGTCCAGCCTGAAGTAGCCAAGTCTTCATGACACGTGGGACCCAATTCTGCTCCAAGCCCCGTGGCGCGCCTGGCAGCAGAGCGCGGTAACCAGCAGCCTCCGCCGCCATCTCCTCGCCTTAGGGATGGCTTGGCGTCAACACCTGGGAAACTGACTCCTGCGATCTTGCAGGAAGCATGGTCGGTGCCCCATCTGGTGCAGAAACAACCCGGTGCATTGAACATCCTCAACTTACTCTCGTCTTTTGTCTCACGCTACGCTCATGTCAAAGTAGTCCAAACTTTCTGCTTCACTACAGGCATGGTCTGAATGTGTTAAACCGAGAGGTGCCCTGAGGGGCTGCAACGAGCCAAGCGAAGTCTGAAGGCTGTCGCTACCCCAAAGTGACGCCCCCCTCGGAGCTCCGGGCTGTCCCGCTTCTTCCGGGCCTCGTCCGTGGGCCACGCCTCACTGCAAATGACATCAAAAAGGCAGGTTGAAGGCAAGCGCACTCGAGGCACCTGAGGCACTTGCTTGGCATGCAGTCGAAATTTGACAAATGGCATGCTCAATGCAAAAAGCTTTGGTATCCAAACGCTCAAAGCTGCCCAGGTCGCCAGGCGATCGGAGGAGGCTCGCCTCCTGGGACATGCAGCCGAAATGGACCAATCAGTTCTGTCAGCCCCGTCCTTCTGCCTCCGAGGGCTTCCATCTCTCCAATGCCTCATAGACCTGCCGAGCAAGCTGCAAGCTAAACACCGGCAGCTTAAGGCCACCTTGAGACCATTCCCCACGAGTGCGCTTTGTTGCAGAGCGCTTTTTCAAGAGCGACACTGGACCAGGTTGGGTTCTGGACCTCCTTTTGCGCCCAACTGCAGGCTCCTTTTGTTCATCAAGCCATGTTGCACTGGTCAGCAAAAGCTGATGGATTCCAACCAGCATCAAGAGACATGGAAAAAGGAGTCCCTCGTTGCCACATGCCATGGGTGACTTGGAGTAATGGCAAGCTCTATCCTGCAGAGACACCGGGTGGAAACTCCAATTTGGGGTTTTACTCATTTGAGTTGCTGACTGTCCATCAAGCAAGGGTCTGTTGTTTGCTCTGATTGCCGATCTGCACCTCATCGTTCCTCTCCAAATCCTTTGGTTTCCGCGGCACCACGTGCACGTGGGTGTGCTGCCTGAGTGCTAGAGCGAGAGAGCGGTGGCCAAGCAGTGTTGAATCGCGGTATGGTAGACTGGCTTGCCACGTAGGTCAAGCTCATTATACCTATACCATGGATGCCAAAGAAGGATGGTCCGATGTGCGCTCGACAAGAAACAAGAGACATTGAACATGTGACCATGTGTGAAGCACTGTGATTCATCATTAAAAATCCAGCATGGCCTGTGCGGTACCTACACCTAAGCTTCGGGCACAGGCTGGCCTGCCTGCCATCCGTCAAACACCGCCCAGTTGCTGGCCTCGAACGACTCAACGGCCCTCGGGTGTCTTCAACTCAGAAAATCCGCCAATTGGCATCCAGAGCAAATCAGCATTCATCGTGCAATCGCCTTTCCAGGGCCTCGGCGGTGGCTCCCAGCTGCTTCAGCAGCTGCTGATTCGCCTGCAGCGTCGTGCGCCAGAGGTCCAGCCTCGGCTCTCCCGCTGTCCCGGCCCGGAAGGTGACAAGTGCGCTGTCCCGAATCTGTTCCGTGTGGATTGACTCTGATGTTTCAAAAGTTCACTTGGCATGGTCAGCCAGCCTCACTGGCTGTCGAAACCACTTCCAGATAGAAAGTGAGAAAAACACCATGCTGATGGTCTGAAGCAAAGGGCTTCATTGACTCCCAGCGCCACAGTCCCATCGTCGCTGTTTGGTCGATCCCGATTGCAACACATCGTCATGAACCAGCAAGTTGATGGCCGATACTCTTTGAGCTCGTCTTCATTTCCGACAAATCAAGCAACCAATGGTTCTGCCCATGCCTGCACGGACTGCCACGAATTGACCTTTGCTAAAGAAAAATAACATGTGAACAAGATACCGGCGCAGTCATCTAACTGGAGCTGCTGGCATTGCATCCTCGGGCAAGTCTCGAAGGCCTCAGCGCTTGGCTACTCGAAGACCACCCAAACCCTCTGTAACTGCAGATGGTGCGGAAACCTGAAATGTTTTTCAAAAAGACTGATCCATGGAAAGCCCCTCATGCCTCGACAAGCACAACAGCGCACATCATCGCAGAGACAGCTGGCTTACTACCCACCGAGACTGATCTGAAACAAGTAAGGGCAGCCAAGATCCATCTACTGATCGACGCTTGTGAAGAAATCACCGGAGGCCAACATGTACGCAGGCAAAACTTCCCGACATAACAAAAGTGCCACAGTCCATCCACACGTTTGGAAACTGCAAGATCGCCGCTCCCCTCATCGCGGCCTCGTTTCAATCAAAGCCTGCGCCCGCAACTGATGTGTGAATTTCAGTGACCCGCCCCGGTAACAGCACCTGGCAGTAGTTGGGTGGCATCTCTCACTCGACTGCGGTGACGCCCGCTTTCCGCGAAACTGGGGCGGCCGGGCGCGGAACGGGGCGCTCCGGGACCACCAGACAGTGGCCAGGCCTGAAGCTTGGAGCTTGGAGTTTGGTTGGATGTGGGGTCGGGGTTGGGAGCTCTTGGATATGAACGGCTCAAGGGCTCCGTCTTTGCTCCGTACTTCCTTGGATATTTGAATTTCGCGGTCGGGAACGCTGAGCTTGATGATCTCGATGTGCCAACTTTCAGCAAAGTTAGAGAGAGAGAGAGAGAGAGAGAAGGCTGCTCCTGTATCATGACCCAACTTCACCAGCTGGGCACCAGGCAAGATTGGCCGGAGGCCCTGCAAAGCGACCTCAATGCAAGGCAAGGGGCCCCGGCGATTGAAGCAGCATCAGTTTTGGGGGTGGAGGGCGCGCAGGATGTGTTACCTTCGTGGGGGCCTTTATGGTGTCTGCTGAGATGGTCATGTCGGCAGGCCCACAGGCTGCCAGAAGCCTCTCTGCTTCGGCGGCTGGCAAAAGGTGCTCGAGTCAACTGCTCATTCAAGAGAGCCCACCCTTTCTGAAAACTGCAAACAGATCAAACATATCCTGCCCGAGCGCGTCGCGCTGCTACCAGAGCGAAGTAACTGAGCACTGACAGGGAGCCTGTCAAGCACGGGCAGGTGTATATAAGGGAATTGAAGGTTCGAGAACCCTTCAGAAATGGTGCGTCGCTGGGCAAGGCTGCAGGTAGCGGCACCCTCCCCAAAAGGTTCATGGCAAGCAACACGCGTATGTGGAAAGCAGTGTGCAAGGGACAAGAAGGAAGGAAGGAAGGAAGGAAGGAAGGAAGGAAGGAAGGAAGGAAGGAAGGAAGGAAGGAAGGAAGGAAGGAAGGAAGGAAGGAAGGAAGGAAGGAACGAAGGAACGAAGGAACGAAGGAACGAAGGAACGAAGGAACGAAGGAAGCAAGAAAGGAAGAAAGGAAGGAAAGAACGAAGGAAGGAAGGAAGGAAGGAGACTGCAAGATCACCAAGAGCAACTAACACAAATGCCACCGAGCAAAAGAACTTGCCCAAAGCATGAAACACACAGAAACGAAACAAGCGAGAGCGAGATAGTGAGAGAGAGAGAGAGAAAGACAGCAAGAGAGAGAGAGAGAGAGACTTGACGTCATCATGTTGTTGAAGCGGCTTGCATCCTGATGGCATAGGATTAATCCTATCAACATGGATCCGCTAAGCAGCTCCCATCCTCTCACAGTACTTAAACGTCAGAAGTTGCATCAGCAAGTTGGAGGGTTTTCTGTCAAACCCGAAAGTGGATAGAGACGAATAGCGCACACGACCATGTCGAAGCTCGATCAAATCCTCGCCGGCCTCACCGCATCTCTGCGAAGCTGGTCTCGTCTGGACCTCAAGCTCAGGGCTGCACAGTGGCTTCTACATCTGAGGCATGCTCTGGACTTGCGTACCTCCTCCCACCACAGGCAGAAGATATCCTTTGATCTGTGGCATGCGTCCAAAGGTTGCGGGAGCTGTATGCGATGGTCGACATGAGGCTACGCAAGGGTTCCCCGTATTTATTGCTAGCTCAGTTCATTGGACTTTCTCTTTCTTGCGAACTGCTACTTATTCTCTGATCTTGACATATCTTGACTCCTAACATTGAAGCCGCTTCCAGGTGCGCGCTTTCATTGACTGATGGCTTTGTTCGGGTATCGTGCCAGCAACTCCGGCCATCGATATTGAATGCAGCCCGTGGCTCATGCCACTGTACCATCAACGAGCTAGCGCCAGGGCGTGCAATCCTATGATGCTTTCTGAATTTCCTTCAGGAGGTGGTCAACCTCCTCAGGGGAGAGCGAGCGTCCGGTGTTTGCTTGGTGCCTGAGACCAGTGAAAGTCTGCGTGATTGGAAGCCACGAGCAGTCTTCAGCCAAACAACGATTAACAATCGCCAGCAGCTGGTCCAGCCAGAGAAGCCACATGTTGAGGCAAGCCAATTCCATTCCACCACTCTTCTTGGCTTGTGCAAGCCGATGAAGCAGAATTCGCTTTATGGACTGCAGTGCTCGTTTCCTGGCTGAAGCTGCCGACAACCACTTCGGCTCCGATGGGGACCACTCTGACTCCGATAGCAACCACTCTGAGGAGAGCCAAGCCCCTGCAAAAGTCACCGCGTCGGAGTAGCTCCGAGGCTTTTTGCATTGCCAGTACGGCCAGGATCTCTGATCAAGCCAGCGCAAGATCTGCTGCCAGTTGGGCAATCCAGGGCTCCTCACTTGCAGGTAGAACTCATGGATGATCTGCCCAGATGCGCCTCCACCAGCAACAACCAGCTGTAAAACATCTTCGAAGAAATCGCCCTCCGGGAGACCTAGCTCTACAGGCATGATTGCCTTGGCCGTTTCTTCACAGTGCCCAAACGGGCAGGCCGCCCCATTCTCGCAGCTGCCTATGAGAAAGTGCATGCACGGCACTCTCTTCGCCACCTCTGCAGGAGGCAGCATCAACTCTTGGTCCCCATGCGCAAAAGTGCAGGCGTCCCCATGTTTGCATTGGGCATTGTCAAAGTACCAACAGCGAACCACTTTGTACTTTGGGATGAGGGGCTGTAAGTTCTGTGGGGCCTCAGCCCAGCCTTCCTCGAGAGCTGAGCTTGTCTGCATAGGGTCGAGGTCGTGAGCGAGAGACCCGCAATATGGTTCAAGGATGACTGACGCTTTTGAGCCATCCCTGGTCATGGCCGGCAAGGGTGTGGCGAAAAGCTGCAGCCACTCCTCATCTCCCGCATTTTCCATGCCCTCGACCTGAAACGTATATGAAGTTGGATCTGCCTCGATCAAGACCAAGCGAATTCTCAGATATGCCTCTACATGCTGACATACCTCATCTGTGTTGAGAAGCTCTCTGATTGGAAGAACTCATCCCTGGCGCCGGAGCGTTGCTCGGTCACCGTAAACCTCCAGGAGCCGCTCTTCTCCAGTTCAGGCGGCATCAGGTGAAGGTTGACACCATGACTTCGAGAAAAGGTTGTTGCCCAAGCTTTAACCTCTCTGTTTGACAGACTTCCAGCACTCAAGATGGAGAACTCCGCGATGAAGACCATCACGATAAGAATGCCAATTACAAATTCTCAAAACATGGCTCTTGAGCCAAGTTTGGCACAGGCAACCCCGCAAGTCAATCCGCTTGCCTGGCTAACCCATGACACCAAGCTCTCAGAGCAGCCTTTTGCGAGCACGGCTCAGTCTAAATCCACAACGGTCACCTGATTCTTTGCCTCCGAAAGCCCAGGCAGGCCGGAGGCGCCGCTGGCGCTGGCCTGGGCATCTTGAATCCTGAATAGCAACGCGGCGCTGATCTGTCACATTGCTAGATTGCTCAGCTTAGAAGTTCGTCGGTGTGCTTCTGTGGATCCATGAACGTGTTCCTGCCGCAAGGCAAGAAGGATCTAAAGCCTTGTCGAACTCGCCTGGAACGTTCAGACCAATCAAGGAGCTTCATGGAAAGAGCAAAATGCTGCCATCGTTCGGCAGAGTCCAAAATAACCCTCAACTGAATCAGCCAGCGCATCAGGTCAGCCCCGCAAAGGTAACCCTATGTGAATCGCATGGGAAAAGTCCAAGACTCTGCCACTATCCCCTGTGTTGACCAAGCTGGTTGCAGCTCTGGCACTGGCTTCAAGCACAGGCGGATGGGGCAGTGGTCGCTGCCTGGGGCGCAACTCAAAACAGCTCCAAAAGCCATCCATTTGTGACATATCAAGCCATCGACCACCTCACCCCCCTCCCCCCCAAATTCAGCGGACTGCGGCTCTGTCAAAGCCCTTAGCCAAGCTCAAATCGCCTGCACAAGAGCTCTTTGCTTTCCTACACACCTGTCTTGCGTCAGCTGGGGTCTTGCAGCCACATCTACCTAGGAGCTCCACCAGATTCCTGTACCAGGTGGGCTCAGAAATGTAGGTCGCAGAACCTCTCCACTTGCTCAGTCGCGAGAAACTGCTGAGCGGGGCAAGCCAAGCAAGCAAGTCAAGGCTCTAGCAGCTATGAACATACTGATAAGCCAGTTGGCGCGATTCCTTCGCCTCAAAGCCATCGTGAAATCACCCTTTTGGCCCGGTGCCGAAAGCGATCTAGTCTTCAAGTCTTCGTGCTGGCCGGGGCACCGAGGAAGCCGCAGCGTTCGGCGCCACTGCCCAGGATGTCGCAGGAGCCCAGCCGCGGCAAAAGCTCCTGAATGAAACGTCGGGGGCGCGGAGGGAGGGTCCCGGGCAGCGGAGTACCTGGTGAATCTAACATGCTGATTTGATCTCGGGGAAAGACATACAAAGGCGGCACTATGAAGTGGCCCGTCTTTGCAAGTGAGGGTTGCAATTGCAGACCGGCCAAGCAGTTCGGAGCTGGCCGGTTCACGGACACCAATCTTCTGGCTCCAGGAAATGGGTGCTCGGATTGTCCCACTCAAAATGAAACTTGAGCCGAATGCGAAGAACTCGATGCTTTCGGGTCCTGGGAGATCAAAGCATAGTCGATGCGCATTCCTCAGCGCAGTTCATCAGATGGGTCGTTGAGGTACCCTTTCCAACTTGGTGAAATGGGAAAGCGGGGAAGTCGCCATTTTGGGAGTGCCCCTGTGTTGACACACGCCCGAATAGGACGCAAAGCGGCCTATCAAGCGGCAGGTGAATACCTCAAAGTGAAAACATGAAATGTGCAGCCCCTGCGCCACCGCGTTGGCCCCCCCCCATTGCCAGTGCACCGCTTATTCGCTCTTGCTCAACAAAGCCTGGACAGCCGTTGCTCGGATTTCACCTGCGTGGCTTGGAACTGCGTTCACAAGATGAATACTTGCCGCCCCAATAGCTAAGTAGCAGTATCTGAGAACAACCGCAAACGATGCGGGTCATGGTAGCATTACCGGTTGGGTGCCAAGTTGAGCTTTATCTTGATCAGATCAGTGGAAGATCTGAAGAAATAACCAAAACTCTGAAATTCGCAGTTCACTGTAACGCAGCATCTCAGATCCTAGCGGCAGCACCCCAGTGCTTTGCGGTTCATGCAGCAGAATCCATCAGAAGTCCTCGCCGTTGACGGCGACCTGTCTTATTGTAACAGTCCAATCACACTTCCTTCCTGCCAGAACCTGACGGTACGCACAACAGGCTGGGTGGGCGATTTCATTCCAGGGACGGAACCTTTGTTCATTCGGGCTCGTCCAAGCATCGCATGGGAAACCAGAAGGAAATTTGGAAATTTGGAAATTATAGGGGTCCAATGCTTTCGGCAACCCCCATATCATCACAGCTCCCTGATCAAATGCTGCCCAAGCATCCCTTGCCGTGGTACTTGGCCACAGCCTGGCCGGGAGCAAAACGCTAGCCTTCACAATCATAGCTGAGGGGGTCCTCAGGACACCGCTCCCTAAAAAGGCCCGAGTCTTGCAAATGTGTGGTGCAATTTGGACAACAAGCCCTGACTGATACAGTAGTAAATTATTCGCATGACGCAGAAAACTTTGCAGAGGGTAAACCGGACCCTACGTCGCCTTCCATGCATCGCCACGAATTCGCCGCCTGGTGCACCGGAGGGTGCCCGCGCCAGGTGAAGTGGGGGCCGTGCCTGGTGGCCCAAGGATTTGCCAAATTTCAACGAATAACGAATCCAAGCTGCCGAGCTCTTTGAACCATGTGGTCACTCAATCAATTTCCTGTCTGGCCAAGTCGCGAGGACTCGCACCTGTTTAGGGCTTGCACATGTGAGGGTGCAGGCAAACATACTCAAACTACAAACATCATGCACAATCAATGCAATTTGCTGTACCCGCTTTTCCACATGTCATCTGGGCAACCAAACACTAGGAGTGCTCAAATGTTCAGTACATCTAGAAGCACCCTTCTGCCTGCAGGGACATACTGGCTATATCCACAAATATGTCTCCCGGAATACCATCTGCAATCAGTGAGTTGCACTGCCTATTTCAGGTCTGAAATAAGTCTGATTGGTCCGTAAGCAAAGGCCCACTTGCCCACATGCCTGTCAGCAAACCGGAATTCCCTTTTGCGTTGCGCTGTACATTAGTAGGTCATACCATAGGCAGGCCCCAGCATGGCATAGCCTACTCCCGCGCCACAAGCCAAGGAGCGCCGGCGGCACATCCTCTGCGGGCGTCAAGTGCCTGACGCGCCCGTCTTTCAGCTGCAAAGCTCGAAGCACTAAAGCAGCAAAGCATCGAGCATTTAAACGCTCAAGTATATGGCTGTGTGTCAAAACCGATGGTACCATTTTGGGGTAGGTACACCACCAATTTGAGTCTATTTTAGTGGGGATTGGGATGTTCACTGGGGGTGCGGGCTTTTGACCCATGGCCATATGTGAGCATAGCTGTGATGGCTCTGACGTAGCACCGAAGGAAAACCTGCAGTCCGCCATGACACGTATTCCGCCAAGTCTCACAAGCCTGCTTTCAAAATATTCCTATGTTCCCCTCCCCACCCATCCTAGCCCCCGCCTGTAGGCATCTACAAGCTGACCAGCAGCTAGGATCTCTTGGAATCGCCGCCTTTCACCTGCAGAACGACCCGACAAGAATGACTCGGCTGTCTATAACATGTGACAGTCCCGGTGGTAGCTTTTGATAACCATGTGCAGCAGACATCCCTGTGTGTAAACAAGAAGGCCCTGCAATCAAGGGAGGTATTGAGATCCAGAATGAATGCCGCGAAATGACGCATGCAAACTGCTAATTCTGGGTGATACTGAAGTGTCTCTGCCTGCACAGTTCACATATGGTGGCCAAACATATGTCAACAAAATTGACTTCAAGATCAAGCTTGCTACTGAAGTGTTCGTCGAATGGACAAGAACTGTGCCCGAGTCAGTGCATAGCATGGCTGTCAGCGTCGGTTTGAAACAGTTCTGACCAGTGGCCAACGGATCGAACGAGGAGTTGAATCCCACAAGGCTTCAGGGCTGCGCTCCACATGAGATCCAAAGTCTCCAATCAGGGATTGAACAACCCAAGCGCAAGATCACAGACCAGCGGGCGGCCAAGCCCACTAAACCCAGGTCCGCTCACAACAATACATAATGGTGCAGCTGTACCCCAGATACTGGCACCAGCTGCACCGTTTAATATCATTCCACATTTTCCAGGTGGTTGCCAGCGCATCTCGCTACACAGTTCCGGCCTTCCGTGAAGCCCGGCTGACCCCGCATGTTTGCTGGCTCCCCCTGGGCGAATGCGAGTTTGGGCAAGGACCATCCACCCGCGCCGATGTTCAGGTCACATGCTGCCTCCTATCGAAAACAGGCCGTTTGCCAACATCCACTATCCTCAGAGGAAGTGAAGTCATGTTTATGAATGGACCTCAAAGCCTGTGACTTGCGAGACTCTGCTCTCAGTCTCTCAGTGGTGACTTGCGAGATCTTGAACCCACCGCTTGCAACCGCTCTTTCGAGCCCACCCTCTCACTGGCAAGGCTCACACCCCTGGAACGCTCTGGTGCTATACTCTAGCACGTCGCTGAGAGGTTCAAAATAGCATGCATCCCATGACCGGCGCATCAGCTGAGAAACGAGACACGGGAATCAAAATTCCCGCAAGCAGCTGGCACCAGCAACGTAATCGCATGATTGCTTATCACAAAAGCAAGAAAGGCTCGACTGCTAATCAGTCGCTTGCAGCCATATTCGAGAGGCACCACAAGTGCCAGCTCCATCTAGACTGCAAAGCACCTTCTTTGCCAGTCAGTACCACAAACAACACTGCAAAACATATATAGAGCCACAACTTAAGCCCATGTATTCTGCAAACAACGCATGGTGCCCTGGGAGAATTACCCTCGGGCAATTGCTTTAGTGCGTATCCAAAAGCGGGCATATCTGCAGCTCAATTCCTGTGAGTTGCTTGGCAGGCTGCTGCTTTGTTTACAGGGGCTACCTTTGCTGCTATTACTATAGCAGATTTGGTTTGAAGGCGCCCTCTCAAAATGCACCGAGGAGCTTGGTAGCACTGCTGCAAGAACCAATCAGGATGTGAGACGTCCTCGGCGACTCAGGCAGGCAATACAGTCTCAAAACAAGGCTACCGCGCGTTGCAGGTCTTGAGAGACCTGAGGCTTCATGGCAGACCTTCAGCGGCGTGAGTCAAATGCTCAGCCGAAACCTAGCGAATGATAAAAAAAGAGCTAGCATCGCATCAGCAAAGCCGGGGCCTCTTTGCTTTAATCCTGCATGCAAGGTTCAAGAGCGTTGTGAAAATGATACAGAATGCTGATGGGATGTTCCACAATGATACAGAACGCTGCTGAGCTAGCTTCAGACGCCGGAACGTTAAAATCCGTCACAGCTTCCCTCAAGATAATCGGTTTCTGCAGTTGAATTGGGTATCTCAGGCTTGGGGGCATTTTACCAGCAGGTGCATCCTCGCTTGGAAGACCAACATCAGAGAGCTGCAACCGACAGGTCAGCAACTGGCATGAAGCAGCAACCATTTCATGCATGCCCATCGGGTACTTCAAGAAGCACGTTTCCGAGCCGCCCCAAAACTGGCCCACCAAACCTGGCCCAGCATCCACGAGCTGTGCAGCAACGTTCAGGTCGCCAATCCAAATGAGGGGCCGCTCACGCTGTGCCACGAACTGCACGGGTAGATGGGATGGCTAGACAGGGGCGAGATTGGCTCAAAACGCAACACCAGTCAGTAACTATTCTTTAACGGCACATGCCGTGTCTATGTCAAGCTTCACTTGTTTTGTGATGGGACTTTCAGGCTCAAAAACATGTTGGGATGCAGAGCATCTTGCAACAATAGGGAAACATGTCATCCTACAAACAAAGCAAAGGGGGGTGATGTGGAGCACCTGGTGGTGGCGCCTCAGCGTTGGTTCCTCAACAGGCGCAGAAGCGCTCCCCAAATCAAAGCGCCAAGGAATACCCATGTTCCAACTTGCCCAAATGGCGCCTTGGTAAGTGGAACCAAAGACCAAAACCTGCGTAACCCCAACTCTTGAATTTTGAGCCGCACCCACTTCGAAGCAATCGAAATCAGGGCCACTCGAACCCAGAACACTCGCAAGAGCGAAAAAAAACAGCCCCAAGCCATGGATTCAGCAATGGCCTCCTTCATGGCATCGTCCCACGCGCTGCGGCGGGCAAAGGCGTCTGGGTCGTTGCCGTTGTTGGGCGAGTAGGTCCTTTCCATTTGGCGAAGCAAGGGGGTGCTTGTTTCTGTGCCATGAATGTTGCCTTCCCAATTCATGGGAGCTTGGCATGTGCTCAGAGTGTGTGCTTTGGAAATTGCCGTCCATGACTGAAACAAGACCTGGCTTCCAGTTGACATGATGCTCGTGTTTTGCAAGGCTGCCCGACTGCATCAGTGAATCAACCTGGCTCAGGTCATGGAGCCTCTATTCTGAAACCAGTGCTAACTACTAGTAAACAGCCACTTCGGGGATGTCTTGAACACTCAAGTTGCTGAACTTGCTCAACCTCTGACTGTGTTCTTGTCACACATGCCCGATTTTTTTGGCTACCGCTTTCAAGCACAACCTTTGATGGGATGCTTGGTGGGATGTCCTTGCAGAAAAGTGACATGTGATAATCCTGTGTTCCAGTCATCTTGCCCTAAACAGTTGCCACCACAGAGTCTCAAATAGGCAGATTTACACCATGACGGCGACCACTTCTCGAAGGCTGGCAGCACAGAATCAACTGGATCTGAAAAAACCACAGTGCAACACACCGCCAACTGTGCTCCATGTATGGCTGTGAGTGCCAGTGCCCGACTGTTAAATCAATGGCCAAACGGGCCGTGCAAACCACGGTGGCCCCGGATCAACCGCCAAAGCCAAGAGCCAAGGCCAACCGGGCACCCGGGCGCCAGCAGATCAAAGCTTGCGAAGCGGACCTTGGAGCGTCTACCCTGTCCACGTGAGCAAAAATGGAACGAACATCTGGAACCTGCTCACAAAGTACAAAACCAAAAGCCAAATGAGGCATCATGCCAAAAGACCGCGTGAGAGAGACAAGTTCTGTCCCTCTATTTTTAGCACCAAATAAACCATCTGCGGCGGTTGCATCATCTCTTCACACAATCGCCAAGACGCAACATCTTCCACTACCATAACGTCCTTTACGCCCCTCTTGCTGAAACACAGGCCCACAAAACTGCGCCGACGCCGAGGTGGCAAACTAAGGCTCAAATAACCAAAATAATTCGTCTTCCAGTCTCAAGTCATTCAAGCTCACAAGGAAGCTGACAAACATAAAACACTCACTGCCACAAGCCCGCAAACAAGAACACGATTTCAACGGTCAGCGTCACTGTTGCTTCACAAACGAGGAATGGGAGCTTCATGCGAGGCACGTGACTTAACTGAACGACTACTAAAAAGCCGAAAGTGCTGCCAAACATGTGCATGCCCAGTGACCCAATGTTGTCTGCTTGAGTAAGATCTGCATTCACGTCCCTCCAAGTTTTGTCCCAACCAATCCTTCGACTTCTGGTGGCAGGAGCTAGATTGGACACCAAACTCCCGGCTGCCCCAGTCAAGCCCCCTCAAGAACCCCAAGAGTCAGCCATGAAGTCGTCGGTCCCATCCCCCCTCTTAAGGCAAGGCGCCCGGATCACACGCCCCTCAGGCTCGGCAGCTGGCAGCGGGTGAGGTGAAGAACCAAAAAAAATCGTTGTAGATACTGATCGCAAGCGATGTCCACACAGCCCGTTGCCCGGGTAAACAAAGGGTACAGTAGCAATTCCGTGGTGCGAATGTTCACTGATTTACCTGCTGAGCAGTCGTGTGCTTGTTTTCATCCTGCCAGCCTCCATGTGATGCGTTCCTTGCTCAGAAACACCAAGTTTGAAGACTGTTGGCCGGCCTGAGATGATATCGCGTGGCAACCCGTTCAAAATAAACGAGGTGGTTCCTCAAACATCCACTGTCCTTCGGTCATGAATACGAAAGTTGCTATGATCTTTCTGTTGCTGCTGACTGACTAAGCTTCCAACTTGGTCAAGTCAAAGTTGGGTTGCCACGTATCCCAATTCACATGGCTCCAGTGCCCTTTCCCGCTGCGGACGCCTCGGGGTGCCACCTGGGGTCTGCAGGATCTTTGTGGTTTGGATACTTGGCCAGGGGAGGGCAGGTGAAGTCTGGCTCGTCGGTGTCCAGGTGTCGGCGGATCAGCAGCAAGGTGCCTGACAGCACGGAGGTCACTGGGCCTCAGCTTACTTGGGCTCTGCGCTCGGCTACGGGCCTGATGGATTTGCGGGTGGACGGAAGGCACGGCCCTTGAGCTTGTACACATAAGATGACGTGTAATCATTCGCGTGGCAAAATATGATCTCCAGGACCTGTTCAAACCGCAATTGTGAGACCGGAATAGCGGGCCACATGTGCACTGCTTCGAGTAAGGTTCGCCTGTTCCATGCTTCGTTCACATTGCTGCTGCTTGTGTTGCCGACAAGGACAAGTGAAACGGCAATCTGAGACTATCCTTGGCAAGCAGCTGGCCCAGGAGCCTCGCTTCAGACATCAAAGTTCCCTCAGTAACAAGCCCCCGGACGCTCTGTGCTGCCAGGTGTCCTTCAATAAGGGCCCCAACTCCCAAGTATGGATGGTCACTCTTGGCCGTCCTTTACAAAAAAGTAAATACCCTCTCTGCACTGGTCTAAGATTGACAAGTGCATAAAAATGACAACTTATTGCGTGTCAGTCCACAAGTATCTTGACAGCCTCAACCTTGCCAGGCTGTATCTTTTGATCCTGAACCCAAAACTTGAAACGTGAACCTAAACCACTCAATCCTAACGAGATCACCAGCGTAGCCATTCACACCCTAGCCTGACGAAATCCTTTATCTGCAGCTTCACAGCCAAGTGGCCTTGCACATGCAAAGAGGTTCACATCTGTTGCCTGATGTTTAGCTCAAAATTTCAGGTTTGCCATACACCAACATGACAAATGCTGATGCTCAAAACAGCGGTTGTGCCTGAGTATTTCCAGTCCGCCAAAGACCAGTGGAACTTGTAGTCAGCAGCGCAGGCGGACACGAGAGTCTTCTGCACCAACTCCCACTCTGCCTTGGAAAGATAGCGAGGCTGTCCCGACCAAGCGGAAGCATACAACCATTCCCTTGTGCCTTTAGATGAAACTGGGTCGTGAGTCTTTTTGCCCTGCTTCAGGAGCCCAAAAGAGACATCCATGCGGGGAGTCTTCATTTGGCAAAGAAAATGCAAAGAAACGCTCCCGCATTCTAGTCATGTGGGCGCCAAGCCGGCTTGTCTCTTCAGTACGGAAGACATGCAAGCTGCAAAACCTTGCTTGCCCCACTCGGTTTGCGCTGAATCAGGGTTGTCCGCATTCAACGGGAACATGAGCAGGAGGGGGTGGATAAAGGCGAGCAAACGGCAGCAAGAGTGAGGCAGTCCGGGGCTCTTTGGGGAAGCGAGCCTAGAATCTGAAGCCGTTGGGGGAGGGACTGTTTGATTCTACCAACTAGTGCCACCCAAATTTGGAACACGCACTTGCTGCAGGATCCAAGAGAAGGCTGTTGATAAATCACTCCTTGAGGCCATTTTGAGAACAGTAGAACTGTCTGCCACCTGCGTGGAAGCCTAGGCTCTATTTTGGGGGGGTCGGAATCGAACCTACAACGGATGGGCTTTTGGGCGGGGGAAAAGGGGAGGCGAAATGATTGATTCTATCAAAAAATACATATATATATGTATATAATATACATATATATATATATAATGAATGGTGACTCAGCCCATGCGCTTGCTTACGCAAATAGAAACTACAGCTCGCTAAAACTAATTTATCAAGTAACGAAAAGGTCCATCCTGAAGAACCATCAATGTCAGTGTGGCACTTTGGTTGGCGCCTGCAATGTAGATGGTTCCAGGGCAGCGCTTTGGACTCGGCGCTCATCAACTATGGCAACTAATTATTGACATACTCATGCGGTGGTTAGCATACACGCCTTAGCTGAATCCCAGGTCGGGTCACTCGCCTGATGGATCTGAACCAAACCGAATTCCGAGTCGCCTTCTCCTGTGCTGTGTCGCACCTCACCTGGCGAGTGCGGGATGCTTCTGAATTTCGGAGATGCCAACGTCTCTTTGTGTTGCCACGGCCATGGAAGGTCCAAAGAGTTTAAGAGAGACATGAAACAAGATTTGGGTGTTGCCAAGAACTGCGCGCATGCGATTCAACAGTTATTATTGTTATTCCAATGTCTGAAAGCTCGCGCACCGGAATCTGCACAACTTATTCTGGCAAAGATCTTGGTGGCGGAAAACCAGCAGCATCCCACACATCCGTCGGGTCAAAGACCAAGGGCAGGGACCACGAAACCGAACCCGGCTGTCCAGCCTCACTCCGGCGTCGTTTCTGGCCATCGTTGCGCTTACAGCCTGGCCAGCCAGCGCGGACAGCTTCGGAGAGGAGAGCAAAGCCCTTTTCCGCGGTCCAAGATCAATCAGTGGCCGCTCACACTTACAGAGGTCGGTGACAAATGACTCAGGTACAGGCAACACAGGCAACAACTTCCATCGACAAACACTTCGCACAAGAAAAGTGTTCTAGCTTCATTTGGAAGCAAGATTGTCACACATTGCGGAACGACGGCAACTGTGCGTCGCTTGAAACTACATGCCATGCATCCACCAATCAACCTCTTCGATCACATCTCCAAAACCAAACATTGTGCGGCCCTCGGCAATGCTTCTGGCCTTTCGGCCCCTGCGCTGGCAGCCGAACCTCCTGCAAGCACAGTACATCCTCGGCCAAATGAGTTGCTTGCAGCTGGCGGTTCAGGACAGGCTTCGGTTGGTATTGCTTCCTTGAACGCCGCACCACACTTCTGCGTAAAGCAGGAGTTGCAATGCTGCTCGATGAAGGAAATATTGCACAAACAAATAGTATTGGAGGATGTGAGTTTCGCAGGAATGGCGCGCATGCAGAAAGTCATGCGGGTTCCCTTCAAGTTGGTCAGAAGCTGCCCAGGGCAAGTACTCCCTTCCATGCCTTCTGGGCAGTCTGCTTTGACTGCCATAAAATTGCACCAGCATAGACCCCAAACAATTGGCATGGGAGACTACAACAGCGCCCTGATCAGCACCTGACTGCATTGCTAAACAAGCAGCGCCAGCAACCACAACACCACCTTGAGCATTGCGCTGCTTGATGACACGACCCCTCCCCGTCAGCTGCGCCTGGCCGGTCCGTCCACCTCGCCCAACACAGTTGGCTGGGTAACAAAAACCAGGAGCCTATTTCGGCTCTGGTGAAACATTCCGGGAAATCACAGAGATCAAGCGAAAAGCACTCTGAGCAGCACCTTGACCAACACCCCCACAACCTTGCCTTCTTAAACACGTCAGAATCATCAACACAGCACCCTTGGCTGCATCGCCAAACAAGCACTGCACCTAACCAGCACCCGCTACAGCACGAAACCAAGACCAGCAGCGCCAAACAAGTGCTGCCAACAGCACCCTGGCTGCATCGCCTGCCAGCAAACACCATAGAAATCGGGCCAGGTGACAGGGTGCTGGTCAGGAAAGTCTTGCTTGGCACTGCAGTTAGGGTACTGATCAGGGTGCAGGTGGCGAGTGGCGGTGCTGGTTCGGCGCTGTCTGGGGGAAAAAGCACGGTGCGCTGGAAGAAAAAGGGTCGCACGGGGATGAACGAGATCGCCAACGGACTGGACACAATACGTGCGCTAGGTTCGCCACACATGCAAGAAGCTGCCGAGGTTCAGCGTTAGAGTCGAGAAGCAAACTGGCAGCTCTTCCGTCCAATGTTGGTATGTGGAATATAATAAGGCATCGACATTGAAGAATTCAGTTGCCCTGTTTGTTGTGTGCATTGTTTGTTGGCGTGCTTGCTCATCTGATTGCTTTTGCGGGATCGTGGGAGGATCAATGTTGTTGCAAAACTGCCAGCCAGGCACGACAGTATGGATTCCTGCTCGTTGCAAGTCATTCAGATGGCCGTTCATACAGATGCAGCGTTTGTTTTGAGACTCAACTGGCATGGCCACAGAATCGTCTGCGGTCAGGAATCCAGACAGAATTGCGTATGGTCTGCAAAAACATGGGGCCACGTCAGCTTCAGGACCACAGCCAGCTTGAGCTCCACAAAAGCAACGCATTGCATCCACTGCAGGCTAGTGGGCCTTCCCTCCTTGGATCAGCATGCCGCCATGTTCCGACGGATGTTGCCCCCAGCAAGCACATTAGCCCATCGTCTTGCTGTCAAACACATGCCACTGATAGCAGCATGCGTGTTGGCCGAAAAGGCACACGTGCACCTGTGGGGTGCACCACTTCTGATCCGCCCCACACCCGGCCAACGGTGTGAAGGTACCACTGGAGACCAGTGGCTCTGGGTAGGGCTCAGGATTTATCAACAGCTAGGTACTAAACAGACACAGACTATGCACGTGCTACTTAAACAAAAGACTTGCGTACCAATCCATCCTCGCAAAGTACATATGCGCTTTGATGCGCTGGCTCACTCAGCCGAAAACCCTCCGAGACAACATCCCTTTTGCCCCAGTGTACAGCATCCTGATGGCTTGCGTCAATTTCGGTATATTGGTGGACTCTTTCTACCTACCTCTTGTGCACTTGCTCATCAAGCTCAAGGTCAGAAAACTTGCAGCCATGGACTCTCTCAATGTTGGCAGACACAATGATCAACTGTTTGCTGCAGCGTACCAGAGCTTGGAGATGCTCCTTTCCTGCAACTCGTGAGAAGGCGTCGCCCGTTTCCCTTCCGCGAAAAAGAGTCTGCACTCCAATTGCAATCCTGGAGTCGGGCTGCTCCCTCTCCAGAAAGTCTTTGATGAGGCTCCTGCAGAGTGGCACCTATCCAGACCTCGGCCTCATAGCGAAACCTCCCTTCAAACGTTGCCAAGATTGTTAGAGCAATGTTGAGGTGGCACACCGGGGCAACCTTGTCCGATTGCTCCTTCCAGGCCTTTCTTTATCTCCCATGGTACCAAGTGGACAGCGCTCCATCAAGCCCGCACAGGCTAAGGAATGTATCTTGTCCGAAACTGGCGGCCGCAGCTATTTATGGTTGGGATTGTCCCTTACTAACCTTCAACTACCCGGGTTTTGGTTGCGCTTCAGTTGTGCTCCCCTGCCTGGATAGAACGAAGACAATCACGTGTAGTGTTTGCTGCTTTGGGGGTTTCGCCCACGAGCTGGGGCCCAAACCTGTTGCTGGTCGACCGCGGCTCTCAACTCTCTGCCCCGGTCCAGTTGTTGCGCAGCTGCACGGCAAGACCGTTGACATTCCTCGGTGCAGCGGGCCCACCAAAAAAAACTTGAGGCTTCATGAACCAGGCAGCTGATTTTATCCAAAACAACGCCGGGTTTAGCCTTAGTCTTCCGCCCACAGTGGGTATGCGTGTGACCGTGGGTCCGTGCTTTTTCCATTGCGTCGTTGGAATGCTATGAAAGCTGGGCAGCCACCGTGCCGTGGGAATCGCATCTCTGAAAAGCGCTGGGCAGCAGTTTGTTGGCACAGAACAGAGCTGCCATCCAACACTTGCGATGCTGGCAGGGATAGGGTGCAAAACGATGCTCTGACGCAATGCCGCGTACTCTCCAGAAAACTGCTCAAGACGGCCTGGGTCACGTGCAGGTTCAGAACCTTTCCAAGACAAACGCTTTGGTGTGGAATAGTTGCGGTGCTACAAGTGGATAAGTGGCCGCCTATCGACGACGACGGCGACGACACGCCAGAACACCTGAAGTGGCTAGAGTCGTCATGGCACAAACTGCTGGCATATAGCCGATGGAACTTGGCCGATTCGTGTTGATCTTTATGCGCGCATACGTCAGTGCATGATCTGAAGCCCGCACACCAAAATCGGTGGTGAATTCCAGGAACTCACCGGATACATCAGAATCTCGCATGAATCCAATGGAATCAAGCCAGCCAAACGATAGGTAGATTGGAGCGCGGTCTCGGTTGTAATTCAAATAAGCTTGTGCCCCCTTTGCCTCTTGAACAGGTTTCACCTTGGGTATGTGATCCTTCATTCCAAAAAAAGCCCTCATGCACTGAGGATCAATGCACTCCTCAGACTGGCCAGCTTGCTGCAAGGCTTGAGAAAGCTCGGCGGCGGAAACCACAAGCCCATGCTTCGCTGATCGGTTCGTGAAGGCCCCTCGTAAGACGCTCTTTACCACGTCCTTCGGGACCAACTGTTCCCATGGCGTGTATTTGTAGGACACTGGCTCAGGTGCGACGCCGGCCTGCTGCCACCACTCCGTTTGCAGCACGAAATGTTTGGAAATATGGCCGGTCGATGGTGTCACTGTCACCCCACCAGCTGCAACACCATCGAAACTTCCGACATGCCACGACAGTAGTTCTCGTCTTCCAGCCGCTGTGGTCAACATTTGCCGCAGGCTTGCCCGGCCGCCTTCGGAGAGCATACCAACCCTCCAACCGCCTCGGCGCGCCCATTGCATTTCGAGTCGGTCGGTTTTCAGGACCAAGCGATCGTTCAGGTCGCCCAGCAGGATAGCCTGGAACAAGCGATTGTTCTGCTGGGCCACCTTCTGATAATGGCGAACGTACTTCACCAATTCTTCCACCTGCTCCTCTTTGTGAGCATCATGGGTGTCAAACCCAGCGCCAATGATCATCAAATCAACATCATCAGCATGCACGCGTACCGTGACGGTCTGAAACACCACAGCCTTGTTCGGCTTGCCACGGGCCGCACAACAGAGTTGCGGCTGTGAAGAATTGCCAGGAAGAAACGCCTGACGAGTACATATCAACAATGCATGCACGCCAGCCTTCAATCCTTTCACTCCAACGCCATGATATGGAACTGCCGCTGATCCACACAATGTGTTGCAATTGTACCCTCTCTTGGCCACTTGCACCGCCACATCTTCCCAAAGCGATTTTTTGGTGGTGGTGTCTGTCTCGAACCAAACAACCACATTGTCACGTCTCCGAGTCAAAGCATCTCCGATGTACTTTGCAGCAGCTACGGAGTGTCCACGGCCATTCAGCTTCAGCGAACCAGCGGAAATTGTGAAAGAGCCTGCGGTCAGAAAATTGATCCCGATGACCATGCAAATGGTCCTGGCGGCAGCTCCCATGGCCACAAGGCAACGGAGCTTTGCGAGCAATCTGGGTTGCCCTTCCCTGGCAAAAGGTCTAACCTGTTTGTAGGTTGAATGGAAAAGACATTTGCTTCGAGGTCTAAGGGGCGATTCGGTCACAAAGACCAGCCATGTACTGAGCCAATGACTGATCAAAAAGTCAAGGGTCGTTTAGGAGACTGGATCAGAGAGGCTACGGCGGCGGCTCACTGCTACGCTGCACTGTTTCAACCACCGCTCTAGAGATGCATGCACTTGGCACTTCCTCTCAAGGGGCAAGCTGGTTTCTGGACAGGGCTCAAGCAACATCCGCGCTGACCAAAGCACCACATGTCGAGGTCTCCTCACTTTTGTACGTCCGAGTCACCAGGAGATCACCTTCGCCGGGTCCAGGAGAACCGCACCTGAAGCTTCCAGCAAACGGGGCCTATGCTAGGCATGTAAGGGGCAAGCGCACAATCCACAAGACGTGGGTATCAGGTATGCAGTGGATATCGAGCAAAGCATCTGCAGCATGAATGAACTCCATTCAGGAGAATTGGATTGAGTTGTCATCCAAGTAAGTGTTTCTGGGACATCAATCAGCTGTAAGGCCTGGTGGATGGGTCCAACACTGGATTGCCAGATAACTCCCCTCGCTGAGTGACTGCCTTCAGCATGAAGCTTAGGACTCCATATAGAACTGGATTGCACAGAGCAAAAGGTCTGACCGAGGCTTGGATGGGACAACCACAAGACGTCTCGGCACGTGCCCACAAACACATTGCATTGGCCACAAGTACATTGAACGATTGAAACGCTCCAGACCAGGTTTCCCAGGCCTCAACACACGCGAATCAAGCACTCTCTCTCACAAGAAATCACTATTAACCAATGGCACTTTAAGCGTTCCTTCGCAAGTGGCCAGATCCCGCCAACTGCAAGCACGTGAAGTGTTGAAACATCAAGCAATCTTCTGACAGGCGAAAACAAATGACTTGAGAAGGGAGAGCGAGAAAGAGAGAGAGAGAGAGAGAGAGAGAGCGAGAGAGAGAGAGAGAGAGAGTGAGAGAGAGAGAGAGTGAGAGAGTGAGAGAGAGAGAGAGAGTGAGAGAGTGAGAGAGAGAGAGGGAGAGAGCAACCTTCAATCACATCTTGAGACTTGCAGTGCCCATGTCGAACTTGGTCGTACTGTGCTCAAGTCCCCATCAGTCCACCGTTGCGGCCCTGTCTGACACATTGCAATTTGTCGCGGGTTGAACAATGCGGTTCCCTCGGAACTCTTGCGCCACCAGCGGATCACACCAAGCCCACCTGCTCAATTGAAGTTGAGTTGCAACACTTCCGTCATACGAAAGTTGAATCCCTCGCTAGTTGAGCATGTGAGATAGAAAAGCCAATGGTTCCCAATGATTAGAATCAGCAAGAAAGTAGAGGAAGGCTATAGAATTGGCAAGGAAAAGCTGAAGTCGCGAGCGTGAAGGCTACCTCTGATAAGGGTTCGGGACGTTCCGGGATGGTACAGAAACATATGCTAAGTTCTTGATGGGCGTACCTTCTGCAGTGGAACACCAAGATATAGCGGGGTGCCAACCTTAAACGGGGGGTTGGTTTGATGGATATAGGAGTGGCCGCGCCCCGGCTTGAAAGCCACAACTTTAAGTAAGATGTCACATTACGCGGATGCATTCACAACTTTGGTTCAAAGGTCGGAACGTGTTTGAAAGTACGAAAGTAGCAAACAGCTAGCTAACTAGCTGAAAAGCTAAAAAGCTAACTAGCTAACTAGCTAACTAGCTAACGCAACTGGTAGACGAGCTGACGAACTATTTAGCTAAGTAGCTAACTGGCTAACCAGCAGACTAGCTAATCTGTTGGCTAACTAGCTCATGAGCTGACTAGCCAACTAGCGAACTAGCTAGCTCGCGGACTGACCAAATCGCGAACTGGCTAAGTGGCTAACCAGCAAACTGGCGAACTAGCTATCTGACTGGCAAACTAGCAACATAGCAAACTAGTTGACTAGCTAGCTAGTAACTAGCTAAGTGGCTTAATAGTGAACTAGCTAAGTAATTAGCTAGCTAGCCTACAAGTTAACTAGCTAACTCACAAGCTAATCAGAAACCAGCTCATGAGGGAGCCAGTGCTTTGCGTAATATCCCATAGCTCTGCTGGCGCTAGCCGTACAAGAGCACATTTTCGACAAAGGGTCTGAGGCTCGTGCGGCTCCCGTTGCACAGCTTCTTCGGGCTGGGCTCTTTGGACTCCTAAGGCATGAGGCAGGCTGATTCTTTGGATGGCCATCCTGAAATAGCACGAGTTTCGCTTCAAGCACCCTGGACATCGCGTTTGGTCACAGCACCAGCATGGCTGGTATGTTCCACTTTGAGTTGCTCCCTCAGTTTGCCAATGCGGCAATGTCCAAGCCTTGGGAGGCAAAACTGGGCTGGTGGATCCTTGCGGCAGAAACGCTCGCAGAACGGCGCAAATCCGACGCATCGAAGTCAACTTCCAGCGCCAAGTCTCGACAGCTGCCCCTGGCGGCGTGGAGCAGTCCCTTCCCGGACTCAGTCCCAGCCCAAAGCTCAGCTTTCTGCCCCCCAACGTAAGCCAGCCAGTTCATGCTCAACTCCCCTCCCTTGGTGGCTGCAACCGAAAAAACACCAAGCATGTTGAGGCGCCCGCAATATTCAGGCGACGACAACATGCGCACACAAAGAGTTGTCTCTTGGCTACGCAAAAATGCTTTGGGAGCCACACACATTGGCCTTAAGCGGTGCGAGGCTGATTGACAAAGGGAGGAACCAAGCTTGCCCTTCCACTAGAAAAGCTCGCCTGCACGCTTGCGCACCAGGAAGCGGTCCATGGCACCATGCGGCACACGGGTCACGGCAGAGGCAGCTTCTGGCACCACCGAACACCCAGCCCTGGCTGAACCGCACACTCGTCTCGGCAATTCCTGATGCTCGGTCATTGAAATATGCTTAGGCGGCAAAGGTTGACCAGCTCGACTTGATGGGAGATTGGACAGCTTCCGCACCTCAGCCCAGCCGCACTTTCACAAGCAAGCTTTACGTATGTCCTCGTGAGATCGTCATTTGCTTGTGGCACTGGTGCAGCTTTGAGCCAGGTGCATGGGGTCATGTGGTATCCTTAGCCGGCTTAGATTGATTCTCGGGTTGTTGTCCCGTCAGACTTGCAGCTTGGAAAAAAGTTTGATGTGCAACAAATCCCTTGGCTGCATGAAGACCAGGCAAAATGCCGATTTGCATTGAGCTGTAACCCCATCAAACAGAATCTGAATTGCTCCTTAGAGACTCTTGCGCTGCGATTCCAACAACTAGACTACACGCCCACTAAGTGAGCTCACTGCTGCGCTGCCAGCTCTGAGCTCCCAGGCACATCACAAGGCCTGTTCCTGCGCTGGACACATGGGCACTGCCCACCACCTGTCTGACCGCCATGGTTGACCTGGTGAGTTCAGCAATTTGAGCACTACATGATCAGCAAACCTTGTTCCACCACCATCCAACCTTCAGGCAAATTTATGGACTCCGTGGAACAGCTCCAAGGTTGCATCCTGCTGCCTATGGTCCCATGGCTGGGAAACCATGGGCGGCTGAAGGATCTCTCTAAGCATCTGCATGCTTGCTCAGATGAACGGGCTGGACTCACTCACACACTCTCCAATGGGAGGGCAGTGGTGAACATTGTTCAACTGTTCACTGCCCATCCGGCTTTCTGTGAGCCCTGCATATTGACATACCACTATTCAGAAAAGGTGCACTTTGCGACAGGCCACAGAGAAACGCCGGAACGGGCAATCAAACAAGTTTTCAGAAAATATACCATATGGGTGCAAGGAAGCGATGCTATACAGCGGATGGAGCGTTGCGAAGAGAAACAACCAATGACGTTTTATGCCTCTTGATGTGTGTGCATGTGGGTGTGTCCCCATTGTTTGATGACATCAAAGTCGTGGCGAGCCGACACATCCTGATCAAACTCTGCGTAGCCTGGATTCCAGCGCCACTTTTTGGCTGGGGAACAGACCTGTGTGTGTGTGTGTGCGCGTGACCTGTGTGTGCGCTGTACCCACCACCCCGACGTGGGCTCCTTGCCAGGCCAAGAAGATGGCCAGCACAAGGCGGAAGCGCCTCCTGCAAAATCCCCTTGCTCCAGAAGTTCGCCCAATGCGGTCAAGTTCTCAGACTCAACGAGAAAACTCCAGCCGAAAACGAGCAAGGCCGTTGCTCCTGTTCATGTCCCCAACATATTCATGTCGCAACATGCAGCGGCACCGAGTTCTTGCATGGCGCCTGAAGCCTTCAAGGCTCGTCACCCAGGATACCAGAGTGCACGGTATGTTGGTCTGTGCAAAGGAGTTTCCGAAGCTTCAGCAGCGCACTTTCCCGCTCCTTGTGAGGGGCACTAGCCTGAACATGCAAAATCATATGTCAAAGCATCTGCATATGCGCGGTGAAGCGTTTGTGTTGAATCAGTGGCCATCCGCTTATCCTGAGTGTTCTGGGCAACAAATGGTCTTACATTCTGTTCTGGGAGCTGCACACACAAGCGTGCAGAACAAGTAGGCAGCCATCTAGCCCTGAAGTTGCCTTCATGTTGAAATGTTGATCCAAGATGCGATCATGCTCCAGTGTTCCTGATACGCGAGATCCATTTGTCAAGCTTACTGCTCCAAGGTAAGCACAACTTGGCAGGGCGGCATCTATGAGCGGGTGACTGCAAAGCAATCAAGCAAACGTTGCAGGCAAAACTTGCCCTGCTATCTCTTCGACTCCACCTTACAAGCTCGCCGGGAGTGCAAAACCACCTTTTCTGTGTGTAGTCTTTCATCTTGAAGCCCCCGAAACATGAACCAAACATGAACTACCGCTGACATCAAGACACCAACTGGATGGTGGTTATCTTTAAACTGCAGATTCACAGCAACTCGCGTATATGACATCTAGTAGGCCTCCGGCAAAACCCATCGCGCCCAGGCATTTTGAACAAACTCGCCTCATGCGAGACCCAACATGCTGCGCCTGGCATGGGGATGGATGGGTAGTGTGACTTCTCAATGCCGAACCACAGTGCGTGATTTTGCGCCTGCTGAAGCTCCACCAGTTGGATCAAGGCTTCAAGGGTCCCCTCAAATCCAAACAAACCAAAATGGTGGAATCTCATTTGTTTCAGTGGTCCACAAAACCTGGAACGTACTGACTCCATCCTTTCATGGGCCCTCAAGCGTTGGGTCCCAGACTTCCACGGATTGGGTGAAGGACCCTTGAACCACTCCAAGAGGCTGCACTCACAGTTGTTCGGTCCCTACCCCAAACCTTCCAAAACGGGCACACCCTTGGACAACCTCCCGGCAGCTTCACAACGCCTTAGATGTGCCCAAGTGCAGCTCGGAGCCCAGAACCAAGCATGTCGTCTTTGCCACAAGCCATGCCGCTTGTGATCAGTTCAGTTTTGCCATGACCGCCCCATAGGCCTCGCCATGAGCCGAAGCTGCACCGATACCCCGGAGGCAGAAACGGCGGCAGGTCGCCCACGGAGCACGGCATGCGCAGCTAGTTCCCCAGTTGCACAGTCGTGAGGGGCCCCCATTTTCTGCTGGCCATTCTTTTTGTGAGCGGAAACCATTGCAAAAGCTCCATTCAACACCTGGACTCTGTGAAAGGACAGCACAAAGAGGTCTAGGCACCGGAAAATATCGTTCAGCTTGTCGCACAAGCGACGGCCAGTTTGCTGTGCGGAACTGTCGGCTTGAAGCCCCGAGACTTGGCAAGTGTTTCATCCAGGCGTCCCATGTGTGGTTTGGCCCTGGCGCGATGCATTCGAGTGTGAGACAAGTGAAACGTTGTAGCTGGCTTGGAAACCTTGATTCACTCCTTTCGACTTGCAGAACATATTGAACAAAATGTTCGATGGCTCCTCTCAAAGGTCAATAAGGTCAATGTCCAAAACCAAGATTGAGGCACATGAGAATGTATGGCAACCTCTGCCTACCCTACGGTGGCATGCCAATTCACGCGTCCTTCAAGACGGTCTCCAGCTGCGAAGCCTCATCCAAGTCCAGTTCTGCCCCCGTGGGGGTTGCCCTGCTGTCGGCTTTGTGCTTCCTATATTTTCTCGAAGAAGTTGTGTTGCCCATTTTGGCACCTACCAATGTCAGAATGTGCCGGCCCCCAAGTTGACCAACATGCATTGCTCAGCAGTCAGCTGGATCTGACCATGATGATAGCTTTTCAACAAGTACTTTAGCAAATGGGTCGCTCCTATATCGTATGCACGTCGAAAATCCTTTGCGATAATCAACCCCCAAAGGCGGCACCAAGGTTCAAACAAGGTTCAATAAGGATGCATTTCTTTGACCGCCACATTGCATGTCTCATGAGGCAACCCGCAAGAAGGGGGCGGTGTGTCCCTTTGGTTGCCTTATGTTCCCTTTGCAACAACCCAAAACGTGCACCGAGCCTGTCACGAAACGAACCGCACATACCAAAAAAAAGGATTTGCAAGCCTGGAATATGGCAGAGCTGCCATTTACAGGCCGGCAAACGGCATGCCACACGCTGCTGAAACCTGTGTCCTTTTCGCTGGCCAATCCCGGCCTGGTACTCCTCAGGATACTCGTCCATGAAGGCCTCCAGCAAGCTCTCCACCTGATCTGACACGCTCCCGAAGCTTTCGTGTCTTTCAGTCAAAAAAAAGGGGTGGTCGGGGAAACCAGTAACTCTGACTGGGCAAAATACTACATTCAACAACTAGGTTGGGATGAATGCACATCTCTTGGCGTCGGTTGAGTGGCGAGGTTGCTTCACGACCTGATTTCGTGACGTGTGCTGTCAATGTGGCCGAGCTCTGAACCTGTAGGTATCCGGTGCAACCGGCGGGGCTGTCAGATCTGCTGATTTCTGAGTTGGCGCAACCCGCTCGTTTGGCGTCAGCCTATGGAGAGTTCGTCAAGGAAACCTGTTATGGCAGTCTAAAATTGCGTTGCACTGCGGAACATGAAGGGATGCAGAATGTCTGCCATCCACATTGACAAGTGAATCACACAGAAGAGAGCTGCCCGGCCTCGGACTGAAGGTCCTCGTTGTGATGCTTGAGCTCCCGCAGGAAAACCAAGAGGGTGGCCTACCAAGTTTTACGAGGGCGGCAGGCACGGGAGCGAGTGTCCCTGGACAAACGCCGGCTGCCTTAGGCGGAAGTGGAAGAACCTCCATGCCCGCATGGGGACTCCGCTTCAAATGAGTCGAAGGTCTACAACAGCTCAACGCTGAGAAAAGCCCTCGTGACCGTGCGTGTTGCTCAGAGCTCCAGCCTCCTCAACATGGTGCGTGTCGGGCGTGTAGAGCAAGTGGAGCGCCTTGGAGCTTGCAAGGCTCAGGACACCACCCGAAAAAGCAACCGAACTGTTGCAAGCTTTCTCAGGCTCGCTGGTCGGAGACGGTCAGAGACTTCTCATTGGTTTTGATGAGAGCTGGAAAACAACTTCAATAGCACCCATGCTGGAGGTGTCAACCCACCAGGTGCCTTCCGTTGAAAGGCCGCGAGCCCCTCCCCTGCATCATTATTGCATTTCATGTGTCCCTCGGCATTGCCCAAAACCGTGGGGGCAGAAGGAAAGCTACAAATCACATCGGCACATTCAGCCAGTACCCGCAAATCTAAGTGGCACCCCCCCCGAACCCCGGACCCCGAACCCTCAAAGCTCTGGCACAAACCCTCTTCCCCCCACCTTGCCATTCGTCCAAACCTCCCCCGACCCCCGTCCGCCTGCAGGAAGTCTGGCCTGGAGCCCTCCCTGCATCCCTGCGCCAGCGTCTCGGCACCGCAGGCCTCGCGTTCCGGGAGATCAGCGCTCGTTGACGAGAAACGTCCCTTCCCGACTTTCACCCCACTCAAAAGTGGCCCAATGTCAAAGAAAAAAGGCGGTCTTTCATAGAAGCCTGTCCCAAGGTCAGGGAGCAAGAGACACATCTTGGATAGGAAAACCCGAGACTCCGCGCATCGGCCCCAGGTGACCAGGGCCCAAAGGGGAACATCCGACCGGTCGTTGCAAGCTGTTCTGCTGGCCAAATTGGCTGACGTTCAGGGACCCGGTGCCGCTTTCAAGTTCAACCATCCTCGTGCATCTCAAGCGTAATTGCTTCGTTTCTTAACACCACATGCGACCACGAGCCTTTTCTCCTGTTGATGTCGCCGCGTGTTAGAATCGCTCGTGTTCTTTTCAGCTAGAGGAGAGCACTGACCTCTGGGGATCAAGCGAAAGGGGAAGTCAAAAAACAGGCCGAGAGTTGGACCAAAAAGTCCCCAACCGCTTCCCGTTGTCTGAGCCCAAGGGCCCAGAACTTCTTCACGAT